AAATTTTAGTGGCTGAATGTAAGTATGTCCAACAGTTGAGTTAAACGCAGTAAAAATTGCAGAATTAATGTTGAAACTTTATGAGTAAGGAATAATTTATGTGGCAAAAGAAGTTCATTCTAAGTAGCCTACACTATGACAATTAATTGCTAATCCACCAGTTTTTAAAACATTATGTACCCTATTTCGATGAGAGAAGTTTAAACTCACCAAAACATCAGGTAACTTTTATTGATTGCAAACTGAATCACCCCCTATTAATGTTTAGTTGATCAAACAAGGAGTTCCAGTTCTGCTCATTGAAAAAATTATTCTCAGTTTCTCTGTCTCCAGCCAAATGTTTCATTAGCTTCACTTTATTCCAAAAACGACCTGATATAAAAACTACAAAAAACCCCAAAAAACTTTCAGATTCTAAGGGGTAAAGAATCCGGCCAAAGTCTTAAACTTGTTGAACCAAATTTTCTTATTACTCGTAAAAGAAAATTAAAAATTATACTTTACTGAAAATCGAATGTGGGCCCCTTCATAAACGAGTGATACAACATTCACTGCATGTGTGTATGTGAACCTCTTGTAGTTTTGTAGGAGCCCAAGCGGTTCGCTCGCTCTTTGCAACAAACGCTACATTCGTGAATGGAAAGTCCTTGAAGGAGCACATAACGTCCTTTTTCTTTCTTTAACTTTTGCATTTTTTATTCAGAATCTTCGTAAAATCAAAAAGAAAAGTATGGACTGATCTGAGCCTTATATGTGCTCTAAAACAATATGAAATATTTTATCGCACAAAGTCGAACTGTAGATCGAATGTAGCCCCTTCATTTATGAGTGATGCAACAGTCATGACGTGTAAGTATGTGTAGCCCTTGCGGGAGCCCCCTTCCTCACCTATTTGCATTTTTATCTAAAGTACAAAAAAAAAATCGGTATGGATTGATCTGAGCCTTCTGTGCTCCAAAATAATATGAAATATTTTATCGCACAAAGTCCAATATTTTTCGATTCAGGTCCTACAAATGCTTTTAAAAGAGCATGAAAAAAAAAATACTCAATCACCTGGCGAAAGTCCAGTATTTTTCTTGAGAATAGTCTCCTCCTTCAATGAGTGATGCAATAATTGCGACATTTTTGTATGAAAAGCCCTTGCAGAAGCCTTTTTATTTGACTCAGCTAAATTTTGAAGAATCACTGACGTGTCCGCAAAAATGCGTAAAAAAGATAGGTCACTGAAATTAATGCTTCATAGAAATATCTGAGGATCCATGTCAAAACCCTCTTACCTATTCTACTCTGCGTAAAAAAAAAAAACGCTCTTTTCAACCATGATTATCCGGGTAATCCAGAGTCCTTTTCATGACGATCAGTTCATTATGCAGTGGTGTAGGATACAATGTTATAATAGCTACCATTTACATGCATATTAAAATCATCAATACTCATCATTATTAACTATATCATTATTAACTTTATCTATTATTATACTAATCATCATTATTTATGCATCATAAGTTGAGATTAAAAATATTATACAATAAATAAGTTTTGGGAGAAAGCAAAGGAAGACTGATGCGCTCAAAAAATACACTGCAAGCAATCTTCCAGCATGCAGAGGGGACAAATACTAATGATTACAGTAAGAGAATTTTTGCGGACACGTCAGTGATTCTTCAAAATTTAGCTGAGTCAAATAAAAAGGCTTCTGCAAGGGCTTTTCATACAAAAATGTCGCAATTATTGCATCACTCATTGAAGGAGGAGACTATTCTCAAGAAAAATACTGGACTTTCGCCAGGTGATTGAGTATTTTTTTTTTCATGCTCTTTTAAAAGCATTTGTAGGACCTGAATCGAAAAATATTGGACTTTGTGCGATAAAATATTTCATATTATTTTGGAGCACAGAAGGCTCCGATCAATCCATACCGATTTTTTTTTTGTACTTTAGATAAAAATGCAAATAGGTGAGGAAGGGGGCTCCCGCAAGGGCTACACATACTTACACGTCATGACTGTTGCATCACTCATAAATGAAGGGGCTACATTCGATCTACAGTTCGACTTTGTGCGATAAAATATTTCATATTGTTTTAGAGCACATATAAGGCTCAGATCAGTCCATACTTTTCTTTTTGATTTTACGAAGATTCTGAATAAAAAATGCAAAAGTTAAAGAAAGAAAAAGGACGTTATGTGCTCCTTCAAGGACTTTCCATTCACGAATGTAGCGTTTGTTGCAAAGAGCGAGCGAACCGCTTGGGCTCCTACAAAACTACAAGAGGTTCACATACACACATGCAGTGAATGTTGTATCACTCGTTTATGAAGGGGCCCACATTCGATTTTCAGTAAAGTATAATTTTTAATTTTCTTTTACGAGTAATAAGAAAATTTGGTTCAACAAGTTTAAGACTTTGGCCGGATTCTTTACCCCTTAGAATCTGAAAGTTTTTTGGGGTTTTTTGTAGTTAAATGATACGACGGGCATTACATATGGGCATAATATGGGTAGTTTGGCTATTTTAGCCTGAAAATACCTTTAAATCGACTTTATTTTCCAGGAGCTCGACAAAATTTTTTTCTGTTTGGCTTAAATGACTCAGTAGACACTCTACTTCAAGAACCTGAAGAGTTTTTGCTTGTGACTCGTCAAAAAATTTAAACTTGTTCAGACCAACTGTGTTTGGACTTGTGCCACATTGACTGCCCTGCATTTACACTAGAATGACATTTCCACTGATAAGCACGTGGAAAAAAAGGTTTAGATTTATTCTAAACTCCTGTGGATTTTGATCAGGGTTGGTGTGACCAACTTCGACCCAAAAAACCAAAACCCGAACGAAAAGATCATAATTAGAAGGATTGAGCGGTGAATTACATTTCTACCCCATATTCTCTCCAATCAGCTGAAATCCATCCATAAATTCTTTCCCAGCTGTCATTAAAATTTGTGTTCAATTATCAATGAGAAATTTTACATGATATTTGTAAGTAATCTAAAGAAGTTTTGGTTGGTGAACTATCTGTTCATGAGGCATGAGTAGCGATTTCTGAGCTCAAATTAATTTATTTTCCCCTTCGCGGAGAAAATGTCAACTTTAAATGTGAAGAGAACAACAACCTACCACAATAAATTTGATGTTGTGAGACAATTTATCACTTTAATGATCATTAAGAAATCCGAAGCAAATTTTCAATTTTTGATAGGGCTGTCGCATCATAATTTGGAGTAAAACACGAGGTTGAGGTGTACATGGTCAAGGAAAGATGAGAGTGAAATCAGCTGAAGGTAACATTGACTACGGTATTGAAAGCATTTAGCTCCATAGTAGGTAGTACTCAGAGTTGAGAACAACTGCACCTTTTCCAGGCTAACATGCCTTCCTGCCTTGAATGTCAATCCTCGATTTCTTACAATATGGCTACCTACAGGGTGTACCAAAAGTCCGTCCCACCCCTGCTAACTTTTGAACGAATTGAGCTAGGGATATGAAACTTTGGGAATGTTCCTATCTCAAAGGGGACCATCTTCTTTTTTTTGGGGGGGGGGGTCAAAATTTTGGTCCCCCCTCAGGAGGAGGGTGGGGGACCCCCAACTTTTTCTCTTCAAATGGCAACCCCTGTCTTGTGATACCTCGTTCAAAAGAGTATAAAAAACTAAGAATTTTGGCGCAAACCGCAGATCAATATCTTAATTTTTGACCGAGTTATGATAGGTCAAAGGTCAAATTTGACCTGTTTTCAAAAAATCATAACTCCAGTTCAAATTATCGAAAAGGAAAACACAAAACGGGAAAATTTATCAAATTGTGTCCGCTTTTAAGTAAAAATTGCAGAAATCACTTCGAACTAATTTTAAGGGGGGGTTCGGACCCCCAAATATGTCAATTAGAAGGTCATTCAATTTTCCAGCGAAATAAGCCAATTTCCCCTAGATTTGCCTCCACATTATCTCAGTAAGGTCAAAATCAGTTCAACATTACGTTGGCAAGTCCCCAAATTTCGGGAAAAGTTAGGAAAAAACGAAATTTAAACGATCTAATTTAATCACCTTAAATTCCGTTTTTTCCTAACTTTTCCCGAAATTTGGGGACTTGCCAACGTAATGTTGAACTGATTTTGATCTTACTGAGATAATGTGGAGGCAAATTCAGGGGAAATTGGCTTATTTCGCGGGAAAATTGAATGACCTTTGAATTGACGTATTTGGGGGTCCGAACCCCCCCTTAAAATTAGTTCGAAGTGATTTCTGCAATTTTTACTTAAAAGCGGACACAATTTGATAAATTTTCCCGTTTTGTGTTTTCCTTTTCGATAATTTGAACTGGAGTTATGATTTTTTGAAAATAGGTCAAATTTGACCTTTGACCTATCATAACGTGGTTTCGCCAAAATTCTTAGTTTTTTAGGCTCTTTCGAATGAGGTATCACAAGATAGGGGTTGCCATATGAAAAAAAAAGTTGGGGGTCCCCCGCCTCCCTCCTGAGGGGGGACCAAAATTTTGACCCTCCCAAAAGATGGTCCCCTTTGAGATAGAAACATTCCCAAAGTTTCATATCCCTAGTTTCATTCGTTCAAAAGTTAGCAGGGGTGGGACGGACTTTTGGTACACCCTGTATATCAATACAATATCCCCCTATGGTTCCTTCCATAATTGATAATTGCAGTACATTGACACTGATAAACTTTCCACTCGTCAAATCAGCACACAGAGTTGGGCTTTACTGCTTGCTTTTGTCTATGTGTAAAGACTGGGCTATTAACATTACTGTACTAATCGGAAATGACGGAAGAGCACCAATCAACATTTAATGAGCATTTCTCTGGGTTCAATTATAATATTTGGACGGTTGATGCTAATCATTCCCTGAGAAAAAAGTTACATTCTTTCAGATTGGACTTCATAAGTTTCTAGGAGCCGTTAGTCAAAAAATATATTGAATATCAAAGGACAACACAGCTAAGATTCTCTAAATCATTGTAAGCAGAGCAGTGGTATGTACCTGTAAAATATGCCAGGCTGAGTCAAGCAATGTCCTTTGGGTCTTCATTAAAAAATTACTGAGAGCTCCAGGAGCCACTCCCTTGCGTCTTTTGTGTGCTACTTCTTCAACTTGGCCAAAATCATCATGCAGAGCATGAGAAACGTTTATCACTTTTAGGCGATTTTCTCTTTGCCAGGCCCATTTCTTTTTCATGTACTTTAACCATTTCAAAAATGCTTTCTGAAACCAAAAATAAAATAATCTTTAAAAATCAATAGGAATTTGGAGGCGTGTCGTCACACTTGGAAACTTATTGGTGTACTTGATGATGTTAATTGCTTCAATGCAGTGCTTGGTGCCCTACTTTTGTCTCTTGCCATTAAGTTTCCCACTCAAGTACAATTTTGAGTTCAAGCAAAGTTGAGGCCTAGGCTCAACTCCAGATTTTGCAGCTCTCATCAGGAAATAGGGACGAAAGGGTATCCCAGGGTAAGGGCACCAAAATGACTGCCAGTATTTATGCAGTATTGATATTACCTTTAGGTACAGAAGGATGAGATACTGAGCCAGGACTCGGTTCCTCACTAGTTTTGTCTTCACTAGGAGTGTGTATGGGTACCTATCCTGAACTCAAAGGTACTGATGCAGAATGTACCATTTTGTGAAAGTAAATGAATTTACAGCAATGACAGAGGTCGCTGGCTCGATTATGATGAGAGTATCCAAATCAAGACTTGCTGGTTGAACTGCAAAAGGTATCCCAGGGTAAGGGCACTAGAATGCCCCTTCGCATGGATTTTGAATTTAATGATTTAAACCCTTTCAAGAGGTCCTAAAAACATAGTTATAGGCAATTATCATCTCCCTACCCCAATTACACCCCCCCTCCAGCCCCGAATAATCCATTTTTCAAGGAATTTTGGGGTATTTTCACGTTTTATTTCATATCTCCCGCGTTTTTGGTCGAAAATTCACCAAAATTTCACCAAATATACATCAGACCATTCAGATTTTTGGGTTAAAAAGTCAAAGGACCCCGCACACCTCTTATGGGAAGCTGCACCATGACCGATTGCTAATTGACTTATGTCATTCGATTCTCCTCAAGATGCTGATCAAAAGTTATAATTGCGCCAACTTTCTATGATGCACCGTTTTCGCAAAACATCAAAGAGAAGATTCAATTATTCGGCGAATATGAATAAAAAAGAACAAAGCATTTGAGAACAAGCCCGATGTAAATAAGGAAAAAAAGTAGCGCGTGTCCGTCTCCTTATCTGTACCTGCCGACTCAGGGGCTATCTCCCTCCCGCACTTGCCCGGTTCTTATGCTCCTCAAGAATCTGATTTGGAGGGTCGCGGTCGAGCAAAACGGCATGCAGAATCCGAGATAAAACTGCCGCTCGGTGCGGGAGTCCCTATGATTTCCTTGTTGACACACAGCCGCTTGTCAATCGAGCACTGAAATGAGGAATCTTTCTGGCTTTTTATCACCGAATAATTGAATATTTTCTTTGATTTTTTGCAAAAATAGTGCATCCTAGAAAGTTGGCGCAATTATAACTTTTGATCAGCATCTTGAGGAGAATCGAATGACATAAGTCAATTAGCAATCGGTCATAATGCAGCTTCCCATAAGAGGTGTGCAGGGTCCTTTATCAAACTATATTTAGACCTCTAAAAAAATTCGTAAAAATCGTAAGTTTTCAATTTTATGAAATTTCATTAACACATACATTTTTTTTTTTGCCTTGTACGGAATATACACAGTTGTTACCAAAAAAAAATTCAAGCCTTCACACATGGTGCGTCTCACTGAAAAAATGTTCTTTTTGCGCCAAAACAGACAAAATAGTTATTTCGGCAACGGTTTACTCGCACGCTATCAAGATTCTCGGACAAAATCACTAATTTTTTACTCCATTATTTCAAGAAGCATGCTTGAAAAGCATGCTCTCATCTTGTTAGATAAGATTTTAGATTGATCAAGTCCTTGGTCTTACGTGTAAAACCGGGATTTTTTCACTAAAACGGTCAAAATTGCCATTTCAGCAAAATGATTTAATTACAGAAGAAAATGAAGAATTATTAACTACATTTTCATTCAACTGAGAAACAAGAACGCTGATAAGCAAGCGCCGGAGACTTTTTCAACACATGAATTATTTGAGAATAATAATTATTCTATCTTCCCGGTATCCCTCTTGAGTTTACGAAAAAAAGTCTCATCGGTTGTGTTCTTGTTTGAAATCAGGGTTCTAAAATGCAGTTAATAAAATGATTAAATTACAGAAAAAAATGGAGAATTATGATTGCTCGTAATATTTAACATTACATGAATAAAGTTGCTGTGTCAATATGAATTACAGTCCTGCATTAAAAACCATCTTCATACCATGCACGGTTCGTTTTAAAAAAATTATAATTTTTCTGAGGATCACCCGCGATTTATTCTGATAAAAGTGTCAAGGAAGGTCTTTTGATTGAGGAATTGAAAACCGCAAAATCGTCAGTGGGGCCTTTTTTTTTATTTTCGACTTTTTCTATCTTTAAGGGTAGAATGGCGGCAAAAACCAATTCGTGACCACCAAAACCCACCGCCATCTGGTCAAATTAAATTAAAATTTTATGTACGTTAGTCCTTGACATGTAAATGAGTGTCCTCAAAAGTTTCAAAGTCTCCCTTAAAGAATTGCAACCCCTCATGCGGTGTTGTCAAGTTACATACTCGATAATGACGCGGCTAACAGGGCAATGTAGATTTTGAGCTACGATCATCACCAAAAATCATGAAAACACCATTATACACTGTGTGGATAATTTTAGATCCAATTCGATAAAAGCATGCGCAGTTGCCATACTTCCGATTTTTGAAATTGCAAAATTTGGCCAGTGAATGTAAATTTTTTTATTTGATTAAAACCATTGTGACGAACCATGTGTGAAGGCTTGAATTTTTTTTGGTAACAACTGTGTAAATTTCGTACAAGGCAAAAAAAAGATGTTAGTGTTAATGAAATTTCAAAAAATTGAAAACTTACGATTTTTACGAATTTTTTTAGGGGTCTAAATATGGTTTGATAAATTTGATTTTTTAACCCAAAAATCTGAATGGTCTGATGTACATTTGGTGAAATTTTGGTTAATTTTCGACCAAAAACGCGGGAGATATGAAATAAAACGTGAAAATACCCCAAAATTCCTTGAAAAATGGATTATTCGGGGCTGGAGGGGGGGGGTGTAATTGGGGTAGGGAGATGATAATTGCCTATAACTATGTTTTTAGGACCTCTTGAAAGGGTTTAAATCATTAAATTCAAAATCCATGCGAAGGGGCATTCTAGTGCCCTTACCCTGGGATACCTTTTGCAGTTCAACCAGCAAGTCTTGATTTGGATACTCTCATCATAATCGAGCCAGCGACCTCTGTCATTGCTGTAAATTCATTTACTTTCACAAAATGGTACATTCTGCATCAGTACCTTTGAGTTCAGGATAGGTACCCATACACACTCCTAGTGAAGACAAAACTAGTGAGGAACCGAGTCCTGGCTCAGTATCTCAACCTTCTGTACCTAAAGGTAATATCAATACTGCATAAATACTGGCAGTCACCTTTTTTTCGGAAGAGACAAAACAAACAGACAGACGAGCAAGAGTTCCAATGGAAATAACCACCAGGAAGACTGAAAACCTTGGTGAATTGTCTACTGGGTACAGCAAGGGAACAACAACTGATGAGGGATGTAAGCCCGATCTTAATAGTTGTTTTTCCTAAGGAAAATTAGAGACCAAATTAGACTTTGCCTAAGGTCCTGCAAAGAGGATTCAGAACATTAGAGAACAGTCAGAGAATTCTGATGCTTCAAAAATAATGAATTTATCATATGAAGTCCATTCTAAAAGAGAAAAGAGTAGAAGTGCCTTCACGATCAAAAGGTGCTAAATTACTAAAAGTTACTTCTAATGACTCTGGTAAAAACTTTAATGTTTTTTCCAAGAAAGTTCCGGAGACAATTGCAGCGAAACCTCTCCCTCCTCCCTCTTTGAAAGGTGGACAAACTACTCCTTGTAAAAGAGAAGTGATCAACATTTACAACAATGCAACTAAGGATTTAAAATGGCAAGTGGTAGACAATCATTTTACTACATTCCTGCTATATTCATGCTAATAGATGTAACTAGGACATCCATTTGATTGAAAAATCAGATTTTGAAACCCATCAAGGAAAAAATTGTGGTTAACATGAGCGCACCCAAGCAATCTCTATCAAGTGTGCCCGTGTTGTAAAAGTTGATCACTTCTCTCTCATAAGGAGGAGTTTGCCCACCTTTTAAAGAGGGAAGAAGGGGAGGTTTACCTACTGGTGTCACTGGAACTCTCTTGGACAAAATATTGAACATTTGACAAAAGTCACTAGCATTAACTTCTTGCGATTTAAAACCTTTGAACCGGGGGGGGGGGGGGAGGAGGAGGCTCCTTCACTGTTTCCTTTTGTGGGAGGGATCAAATGAGTCTAATATTTTATTATTCGGTCATTCGATGGTGAAAGAGCGAAGCTAACAGTTTTTTTCTGATTTTTTTGATGACTGCAACCGGGAGAAAAGTAGACTCGAAAGTGCCAAAACTTACGGTGGCCTAAAACTGAATTTGCACTGCGCGCTCGTAGCTTTTAGGAGTACGCGCCACCGATCAATATGGTGGCGGAATCCGCGGTGGAAGAATTCACGGCGGCGCACAGTGCGGCCCTCTGTGGACAAAAATCCAAAATTCACAACTCGACATTTGAGTATTTTTTTGGATGTTTGTCATCTTCATGACATTTCTGACTCACGATGATAGTTTATTTTCAAATTTTTTTGCCCAAAACTAGTTCAAATTTGGGTAGAAAGTGGGCGTAAAATGAGTCAAGAATCACTGGTCCATAAGAAGTATACAGGAAAAACGTCAACTTCAAATGAAGATTTCTTGCTTGAAACGCAAAATGCTCTGAGTGGTTAACATTTTCTCAATCTTCAGATATCCAACTTCAATCCTACCAAAAAGATTTTGCGACTTTTTGCGAATATCCGAGATATTTGAAGTTAAAGTTTGGGTGTTTTGCCGGTTTAGCGATGCTTTTACATAGTTAACATAGCGCTGATTGGAGGTTGCCAGCTTCCGATGGACTTTTCTCGAGAAATACGGAAAATATCCTGAGATAATAACATTTTCTTTTCCGTCAGGTGTTCTTGTTTGACAGTGCCAAAGGGTTTCCCCATGTCAGTGCTACTATCTTCATTACTTAAAGTTAAGTGTTCGGTTTTCAACCTCAAGTGCATTAATTCCTGATAGCGGCAACACAGTGTGGGATTTCCCATGTGGGAATCATATGGGAAATGATTTGGGATCATTTCCCATATGGAAATTCCCAAATTCCATTCGTCAGCGTTCGAATCAAAACAAAACAAACCTTGTGCCTTTCTTATGACTGTAGCATGCTGCATGTAATCGTTTTTACTCAAATCATACCTACCTATGCATATTCTAAAGTAAATTCGTTCAGATTTTTCGAAAGAAGCGAGAAATGTGTGGTTCATTCAGTTCAGTTGATTGGAAGTGGAGCATGGAACAGCTGGCATCAAAAATGTGTGTCTTGGGTGCTACAACAAGTACTTTGAGATTCGAGAATTTCATCGGTCATTCTTAACCATGGTAATGAATACTTACACCTTCTAACATCAAGTATCTAAAACTTCCTGACGTAGTTTCAATTTCCTCCTTAACAAGGCAAAATGTATGATTTTCACCGTTCTCACTTTCAGTGCTTTCTCTGAATTTAATGACTTGATCTCACAGGTCCTAAGCGTTTTCCTCCCACAATTGAATGAAATGAGGCCTTTCTATTGTTCAAGTAAAGTCTGCCTTCACAACTTTCCTGCTTTAAGCAAGTAAAATTTCATGGTTGGTGTCAATTGACTGTTGTGAATCGCCATGGTCAAATAGTACAGGATGATAACAATGTAACCTAAAACTCTCATGGAAGCAAGATACATTGCTCAATTACATACCAGCTGTAAAAGTCTTTAAACAAATGTCATGATCACATCTTGTGCCTTAGTTTTGTTTAAAAATTCAGCAGTGATAATTCATCTATTCCTACTTGTAGTCACATTGAATAGTATGCGCCATAATCAAGTCATATTTTGGTGCTCACCACCCAATACAGTTCACAATCACTCTCTAGGGTTCGAAGTGCATGGAAGGCTGTGCTCTTTCATCCTTGAGTTTTTCATGTGAGAATCAGTGGTGTGTCTAATCATTTTGAGAATGGATGAAAAATAATGACTACTAAATGGGGTGTGTGACTGAGTATTTACACTTGAACGCTTTCCCTCTTCGGTTTGTCCTGAGGACAGTTGCAAGGTGAGTTTCGTTTTCATTATACTCTATAGAAAATATATTTCCTCTTTTATATTTCAGCAAATCAAGAGCCTGCATTTAATTCCATTTGGGACCCTTCATTAGCTCATTAGGTGATGAAAGATTTAATGCCCAACCTTAACATTCTTGAAACTAGCATTAATTCTTGTGCTCTCCAATCATCATGCGAAGAATGATCAGTCCAGTTATATGTATTCTCTTAGGTGATCTGAGTGAGAGGCTCTTACACAAGGTTTTGTAGAGTTTTTACCTGTATCTATCATGTTAAAATTCATTTGTGCTGTAATACAATATTCTACGATGGCATAATTTCTCATGTACAATCATTATTGTCAAAAACACAGAGTGCTTAAGCGCGGTGGTTGAGAAAGTGCCTCTGGCTTAATTTCTCATGTACAATCATCATTGTCAAAAATGCAGAATACTTAAGCGCGGTAGTTAAGAAAGTGCCTCCAGGATGAGACCATACTGATTAATGAATTTTCGATTTTTTGTTTAATCAACTAAAGCATGTTCTATACAGTTCAGCCAGCCAAATTTGGCATTAAAATCTGATTAATGGATGTAACTAACTACTACTGCTACTGACTATACTCAGGCGTCAAGTTGCGTGGTACATACATATTTCAGACAATTACTATGGGCTGCAATTATTCGGCCAAGAATAACTGTTTCGGGAGACTGTGTTGTGCTCATCAGTTGGTTCGCAGTGTTCCTCATTCAAGTCAAGGATAATCAGTGTGCACTTTATTCCTTTAACGAATCATAGGTATGCATCTATTTAGAAATCTGTAGAGGAACTTAGAAAACTGTGACTTTGCTCCTTTTATGATTGATATCAAGTCGCTCTCTCTTCCTCTCTCTTACTCATCCCCGGACGGATATAAAATAAATAATTAGTTAATTTCCAACCAACTTGAATTTTCTTCATAAAAAGTATACAAATTAAAATCTTGTGGCTTATTATAATATACCTCATACATCAAATTCAAATTTTTCCTTGTAGAGGAAGTTATTTGGACTGCCATCTTGCTTGTAAAGCCTTAATTTCAGTCCTAGGGAATTCTGGGCTTCAGAATTGGATTCTACAGAAAAATTACACAAGATTTCATACTTACCTCTAAAGCCTAGATGCATCAAATTCATATTTTTTGTTGTTGAGGTCATTTTGAGATGTTTTTGGGCCGCTTTCTTGTTTTAAATGCCAAAATGCCAGAAAATGTTTAGCTTAAAAATCGGACTCAGCAGCAGAAATTACATAAGAATTGATACCTCAGAGGCTTTTATCACTAAAATTCAAATTTTTCATCCTTGAAAAGATCATTTTGAGATTCAGCAGCAGCCATCTTATTTGTAAGGCGCAATCATCTATCGTAAAGATTTTGTGGTCGGAGAATTGGACCCTAGGGGTAAATTACCTATGAATTAATACCTCACAGTCTTAGATCCGTGAAATTCAAATTTTTCATTCTTGAGAGGATCATTTGGAGGTTTTTTGGACAGCCATCTTGTTTCTGAGGCCCAAATTCCAGTCCTAGAGAATTTTGGGCTTAAGAATTGGATTCTATGGTAAAGATTACTCCAGAATCGATCTGACGATGGACCAAAACTTTTTTTTCATCATTGTAACGTTTTTTGTCCGCATCGTCCATAAGGAGGCCACACTGAGCGGTGTCTTATTGTTGGTTAGTTGGAGGTTATGTAGGTTAATTTGTTTGTGATATTCGCCCATTGTTCTTAATTTCTTAAACTTTGAATCAAAATGCGATATAGATCTATGTAGGATATGAAACATTCACACAGAACTCACTCAACCTCAAACGAGTAATCAAGATGTCAGCAACGGCAGCGTGGTGGTAGTAAGCAGGCTGGCTTTGCCGCCGCTATCTTCCCGTCTATGACGCGTAGTGTCAAAGATTGATGGCGGTAACGAATGGAACAGTTCAGACAGTTCCATTCGACAGAATGGAACCTGTTTTTAAGGACCCCTAAAAAGGAAGCATTATATTCCGCGGCGACAATTTTTTGTGCAATTTTACCGAGCACATCGTTATTCTCGTACTGGAAACTGTGGAAATAGATTAATTGCAGGCAAATCCCTCCCGAGTTTAACTGGTCTGTGAACTGAATGAGATAAATTTATAGTTTTTGAAGCATCGGAATTCTCTGACTATCCTCTGATGTCCTGTACCACCTTTGCAGGGTCTTAGGCCAAGTCTAATTTAGTCTCCGATTTCCTTTAAGAAAAAAACTCTTGAGAACAGGTTTACATCCCTCATAAGTTGCTGTTCCCTGGGTGTACGCAAAAGGCAACTCTCAAAATTTTCAGTCTTTCTGGTGGTAATTCCCATGGGAACTGTGCTTGGTGAATGAGAGGACTACCATTGTTTTGTTAAGTAAGCTTAAGGTACCTTTGACGTGACAAAGAGGAATTTAATGTGCTCAATTCATAGCCTCAGCATGATCTAACAGGTGGCAGCCTGTGTAATGTGAACGTACGGCTTCGGACCAGAGACTCAAGTACCTACCGGCACCAACCTCAAGATCTGCATTGGGTGTTTCTACAACTGCCAAGGCCAATATTCAGTCTTTGTCAGAGCATACTTTTAGGAACAGGAACCAAAACATTGTCCGCAGAAATTTGAGGGTGAGGAAATTGCTCCAAACTCAGCTTAGGCGCTCATTGTGATTTTTCCCTGATTTTACATAAAAAAAATATCTCTATTTAGCTCTAAAACCATATACAACCAAAAGTCTTCTTAAATCGTTTATAAAAATCTTACCCTGGAAGTCCCAATCGAGGGTGGACGTCCAAAAGCATCTTGCCATGTAAGAGGGTCTTGAACAGGTGACTCAGTTCTTTTCCTCTTGTTGACTTTCGCTGTGATCTGTTTGTCCACTACAATTTTACTTGGTTTGGGACCATCTTCAATATCTTGAACGGTAGGTTCATCCTCGGGCATCTGAAAAAATACAGGTTTCTTTTTTCTTAGGTTTCCAACGCTATTACTGGCCAAGGGAAAGACTCTCCAATGACTAATTGGTTAGTCCAAAAGAGACCTGTAATGCACAGCTTATAAGGCTGTGAAGCACAGACACAAATCAGTACCTTCTTGCGACCAGTTGACCTCCACATTAGAGCAGTCTTTATCAACTCACCATTTCGGTCTTGACCTCTTCCTTTGTGGCCTGCCCAGTAGGCAGATGAATGTCTCTCAATGGCCAACTCTAAGCTGTAGGTAAGGTACAAATCACTTCGGAATAAAAGTCTCCAAGGCAAAGATAGCTTCTCTCCTGAGCTAGTTAAGGTGTTAGTTAATTCCAACCTACGGACATGTCTTGGCATGTACAATAACTCCCTTACAGCTGGAAATTTTCAGACATGAACTTATTGCCCAAGAGCTCTGAGCAAAGATCAACATTTTTGGTCTGATGCCTCTTGAATATCTTTGGTAAAATCATTAGATAGTAGTAGTAGTCTAGGGGCCTATAAGTGATAGGTCGATGATGAGGTACGAGGATTCTGCTTTTTCTCAATTCTGTAATCCCACACCCTTTCAGTAAACCCATAGTTGATATTAGGTTTCAATGGGGTAAACAATTTGATGAACAAATTTAAAAAAAATAAAAAAAAGGATAGCGTCATCAGCTGAAAATGGCAAAAGATGCACAAATGAGTTCCGGAAGTAACAGGCGGTTGTTGCTGCTAGAAGGCAGAAGGAAGGAATGGGGAGTTGGGAAAGCAGGTCAAAAAGGAAAATAACATTTCCTCATGATAGCAGGAACGAGTTCTATAGGTTGCTGTTCTGTTGTGAGAAGCCGTTCATAGTGCAATCTAGCGTAGGATCCTTGTAAACTCAAAGGAGCCTCCCTGCCGATTCGCGACCCATCCATCACCCGCTCCAAATGTAAGGTTACGCCGATAATTGAAAAATAACCCAGAGGGCGGCTGAATTCTTGAAAAATAAGTACATTTTTTACCTTTTTTAACCCCCTTTAACAAGGAAGGCCCGCTGAACAGAGACAAGGCTGAAAAATTCGATACCTGGCAAATATATGAGATCCTACAGATTTTTTGAGAAGTCCAACAGCTGATAATAACAGTTGGTTGGGAGGATCTTGCGCAAGGTTGCAGCACTAGTAACTGCTCACAGCTTTTTGCATTGGCTATTATGGGAGTCTAGGGTCCTATAGAACTTGTCCCTGATGAAAGTAAAGAAACAACAACAAGAAGATTATAGAATTTGACAAAAAAAATTGTACACATTGATAGCTAAAGTGAAAAAATGCATACCTTCATCGTAATGTTTCAAGATTTCCGAATGTTTTATCTTTTCAAGAGAGAACCAACCCCAGAAATCTCCCTGAAATTTTCTGTGAATATGTTTTAAAGAGTGAAAAATATTCACACAAAAATTCAAGAAAAACTATTGGTTAGTCTTCTTGTAAAAAATGTGAACTTGAGCAGAAAGTTACAAAGTCACAATCAAAGATACGCATTTTTAGACTCAAGTTATTCATTGGTTCTTTTTTTGTCTACTTCTGTAGATCCTTTTTCATCCAGAACTGTTCAGTGCATCTAGGAGATGCTTCGTGCTTCCAGAGATGATCGAATATAAAAAAAATATAAATTTTCTTAGGAATACATACCACTTGACTGCATGTAGGCATGGATTCCACCACAGGTTTTGCTTGATACGTGAACAATTCGTTGATTTTCCGTTGCTTCAGAGTATCATTTTTTTCAAGAATCTTTTTATGAAGCCAATCTGGATGCTGAACTCTTGGTACCGGGTTTGGTAACTGTAAATCAGAGGGGGAAAAGAACAAAAAGATGTCATAAGTCAATCCTGGAAGAATGGGCCGTTAGCCGCCTGGAGGAAATAAGCTCATAACCACTCATTTGAGAGTAAAATTTGGCAAAAATCATTAGATCACTCAATTTTATTCGAAAGTAACTCATTTTAGGTGAAGAAAGGCGTTAAAGTCCGCGATTTTTCGAGTTTCCTGCCCGCCGTTGTGACGTTATGCTGCACACTTTCGACAGCGTACTCCTTTGTATATTCACCAGGCGACCAACTGAGCATCCGCCATTGGAAACAGGGTCGTAACCAAACGAAGATTGATTTTTAGTAACAGAAAAGACCAAAACAACTCGAAATCTGTATCACTAATATAAACTTCGAAGGATTCAGACTTTCAGCGATTCTACCTTTTTCTATTGCACTCGAGAGGTTGTCAGATTGTGCGATAAATATGAATATTTTACATGGATTGGAATTGGAAAAAGTGTTATAAAAGCAACTTATCTGGCAACAATAGAGTCCGGGAGGGACGAGAGGCTGCTTTCCTGGAAAAACCCATGATTTAGCCGGAAATGTCATTAAAACAATTGATTCCGTTCGAAGCATCAATTGTATACTAGGAGAAAGCTATTTTAAAATAATAATTGTAAATGGATACAGATGCTACAGAAAGGGAAAAAGGAAAGGGAAAGGAAATGAAATGAGGATATGATTACCTACTAATATGCGATCAGAGAGAATAAAACAAAACCATTGCATCAGAGAAATTTATATGCGATGAAAGTATAAGAAAAAAACACGAGTGGAATCATTGCGTTTCGGAACTGGAACTATAGTATTGTTGAGCAGTTTTTAGACCCCTTCGCCACCGATTATCTTCTTAAGAGGTAAAGTTGAACTTTTGCTACTTCAGCAAGTCAAATCGCGGAAGGAGATCCATGGATTGTCTTTTTCCGCCACCCGATGGGATGACGTCCCAGTCAAATGCGTTTTTGAAGAAATGATCGATTCATATCATCGCCTTATCTCCACACATCTATTCATGTGCAAATGATGGCACGCTCCGGCAACAAGGTTCTGTGACGAAATCATTTTTGCCTCCAGAGTCTCCAAAATGTATACATCTTAGTGATCAAACGTCCAATCACTGAGAAGAATGGCTCGCGGAGCGAGCCGAATGTCACTTGCGTAGCGAGTGATCAGGGGTCTAGGGGGCGAAGCCCCTTGGCTGGCCGTGACGGACGCGCTTTGCGCGTTGCGCGTCTTTTTTGCTAGTCATTTTTGTGCTAGTATTTTCATAAATTTAGATCGATGTTTGACTTCAACAAAGCATTTGACATTTCTTTTCATCATACATAGGCTGTCCCAAAAGTTTCGCATCGGGACACCGTAGAAGCCAACAAAGAAAGCTAGCAAGTTGCGGTTTGCGGGGTTCTTTTTTTCTTTTTTTTTCTTTCTTTATTAAATCAATAGGAGACCACATACGTATTAATCCTAATTATGTAAGCTTAAAATAATTACAATGTTTAACGGGTGGGTCGGAAGACCAACCCTAACTATTGACAGATTATACAGGTACTATACAGGATGATAGAAAAGTCCCCTCCCCCCATCTAACTTTTTACCTAATTGAGATAGAGATTTGAAACTTGGAGGATGTTCCTAGGTCAAAGGGAGCTACTTTTTGGCCCCCCTAAAATTTTTGGGGGCCCCTTTTTGGGGGGTAACGGACCCCAATTTTTTTTTCAAATGGGAAGACCCCTTTTGTGATACCTCGTTGGAAAGAGCATAAAAAAGAAATTTTTTCGCGCAAACACGAAGTCATTATCTTAAGCCGTTTCAAAATGGCGGCCGGTTAAAGTTCAAATGGCCGAAAATTGGCATCTCGGCTATTTGCACATGGATTTGTTTGAAACTCCTGAAACCTTTGGAGGTATGTACGCACGAGAAAAAAGAATTTGACGTTAGATTTTTAAAAAAACCCTAATTTTTCAAAATGGCGGCCAGTTAAGGTCTAAAATGGCCAAAAAGTGACAAACTTGAGTTGTAACGTCAAATTCGTTTTTCTCGTGCCAAAAATACCCTCAGATATCAAGTTTCAAGCGAATCCATGGGCAAAAAATCAAGTTTGTCAATATTCGGCCATTTTGGACCTTAACCGGCCGCCATTTTCAAAAATAAGGTTTTTTTTTTTTTTAAATATCTAACGTCAAATTCGTTTTTCTCGTGCGAAAATACACCCAGATACCGAGTTTCAAACAAATCCATGTGCAAATAGCCGAGATGCCAATTTTCGGCCATTTGAACTTTAACCGGCCGCCGTTTTGAAACGGCTTGAGATAATGACTTCAGGTTTGCGCGAAAATTTTTTTTTTTATGCTCTTTCGAACGAGGTATCACAAAGGGGGTCTTCTCATTTGAAAAAAAAAGTGGGGGTCCGTTACCCCCCAAAGGGGAGCCCCCGAAAATTTTAGGGGGCCAAAAAGTAGCTCCCTTTGACCTAGGAATATCCTCCAAGTTTCAAATCTCTATCTCAATGAGGTAAAAAGTTAGGTGGGGGGAGGGGACTTTTCTAACACCCTGTATACTATGATTTGTTTATATACTGGGGTTCTTTGATCAACTCATTAGCTACAAAATGAGCCCTTGTAAAGCTCATTTCGTCAAAAATTGACCAAGATACAGCGTTTTTTCGGAGACGTGTTGGGTGGACCCCTCCAAGATTTTAGGACTTTTTTCAGGAAAAAAAACAAACAAAGTTTAAACATTAGATGCGTGTATTAAAGGAAATAAACAAAATAAGCATTTCCAATGAAGTTTACATACTTTATGGCTCCTCATCTGACAATTCTAAGCTTCTCCTTTCTTTTTCAAAGTACTTTTCTCCAGCTTTGACGCACAGACGCAAGCGTTCTAAAAAAAGCTTGAGCTGGGGCCTTAATTTCAGCAACTGAATTGAACCTGGTACCTCGAAAAGCGTTTTTTAATTCTGGAATAAGTCAGAAATTGCAAGGCGCAAGATCCGGGCTATAGGGTTGGGTGGAGCGTTTTTGGGCTTTTTTTTCCTTCAGAAAATGGACATAGCACAAAAGAGGCGAAATGAGCTAAAAATAACGCCTGTATTTTCCTGAATTTTTTCGTCAACGTTTAAGCCTCCCGGATTGACGTTGACGTCAAAATTAGCGGAAAATCCAGGTTTTTCGACTATAACTTGGCAACAATGGCAAATACGACAAAAATGCATATTTCCAACAAATAACTTTCTTATCGTTGTTTCTCTTAGTGCAACCATTATAGTGTATAATTCGAAAACCCGTATTTTCTCAGAAATTTGACATGAATTCTCTTTCAGTCCAGGAGAAATACGGGAGAAAGGAAGCTAACTCCAAACAAATTGCGTGAAAGACTTTTCCTACATGAATGTCATCATCGGGTTGGCCTGAATAACACGAAACATACAAAATATTTTCCGTGGCTCCACCGCGGAATACCCCTTAAAATGCCTAAAATTCAAAAAGGCGACTAAGTTTAGATTGTCAAGCATCAAGGTAATTTAAAATGTGCATCTCGTGTGGTGTGAGGTGTCATTACCATGTCATTTTAGTCGTAAATTTCAAATACAGTGTCAAAACAAGTCCCTAGTCAAACGGGATGCATCAAATCCAGGATGGCGACCAACTTTTAACGGCAGGAGGGTAACTTTTAAAGTTTGATTAATGTAATACATTTTAAATCGAAACAAAATTTCTGGATAATATTGGTATAGAAGTTTGATGAGAGGTTCAAAATTTATTTGTTTTTCATAAGACCTTATCTATGATCCGACGAATGACACCTGGTCAGGAGGCGTAAAATTGACAATCCAGTCCGAACCCGGGGGTTACTAGGGTTCAAGATGAGGCAATGATTTTGGTGAATGTAGATAATTTTGGTCGTAAATTTTAGATTTAAAGCAAAAAATGCCCTCTAATCGTGCAGGATCTCTCGATTACAGGATTAGTAGGTATATGATTTCTAAATTTAAAGGACAGAACAGAAAATTTCAAAAACGCGATAGTAAAAAATCTTTGAAAGTGATCTGGCAGTTTTATTACTTGCATGTTCGCAATCAATTTTACTCCTCAACAAGAGCTGAAATTGAGGATGGTGACTATCTCCATATGAGGAACCAATAAAACAACACTACAAATAGTTGTACAATTCGAAAAGAAACTGCTCCATAAGCCATATTTACAACAAAGTTACCTATTACTAAAAGAAAAATAATCAAAAAATGAAAACATTATTGATTCATACCACCGGATGATGTTCCTCAGGATATTTTTTGAAAAATGGTGTCGTCAGATTTTGATTTTAGAGATTGGTTTTTTTTTGTTTTTTTTTTTATTTCGCCATGATTCTCACAAGACCTGATTTGCTTATTTCACATTTCGAACAAAAAGATTCTTGGTTCTCGGGGGGAATGAAAGGATTTTAAATGCGGATATTACTTACACAGAAATCGGTACCTTGCTCTCGAAGATGTAATAAAAGCATATTTGGAAATAAGACGTATTAATGCTAAAAGGAACTATGTTGCACGCAGCGCAAACACCGTTTAGATAATTCCTTTCAGCATTATACCTACACCTCCGGTTACCACTACTGCCTTTTACAGGCAGTCATCAAGGATTTGAGACGCCCTGTCTGACCATTCATTATCCACTTAATTTTTTACTTCAAATTTTACCAAAATTACACAGGGAATAATACTTCACTTCACTCATTGCGTCATTATTTAACTTGCTTAAGTTCTCCTACCCTTCAAACTTATCAGTCTTTTTTTAGTTTTGGATAGCCCCATTAACCAGGTGGTATTCATCATGTCATACTTGAAATCTGCGACCAAAATTACGATGAAACCACTTAAGCATGTATCTCGGTTTGCGACATTGCAGAATTCTTGGACTTTTCAAATATTGCAAACGAGATACCTGGTTTGGGAATTTTGCCGTCGATATTCTATAAGGAACTAATACCTCACTTAACTTATCACGCGAAGAAGTGGTACTATATTACAAACTGTCAGGGGGAATTTAAGGGAATATGGGACAAACATACCCTCCTGCCGTTCAAAGTTGGCTGCCATCCTGGATTTGATGCACCCCGTTAGACCAGGGGCTTTTTTTGACACTATGTTTGAAATTTGCGACTAAAATGACATGGTAATGACACCTCACACCACACGAGATGCACATTTTAAATTACCCTGATGCTTGACAATCTAAACTTAGTCGCCTTTTTGAATTTTGGGCATTTTAAGGGGTATTCTGCAGTGGAGCCATGGAAATATTTTGTATGTTTCGTGTTATTCAGGCCAACCCGATGATGACATTCATGTAGGAAAAGTCTTTCACGCAATTTGTTCGGAGTTAGCCCTCTTTCTCCCGTATTTCTCCTGGATTGAATGAGAATTCGTGTCAAATTTCCGAGAAAATACGGGTTTTCGAATTAAACACTAAAACGGTTGCACTAAGAGAAAAAACGATAAAAAAGTTATTTGTTAGAAATTTACTTTCCAAGAACTTTGATTCTATGCATTTTTGTCTTATTTGCCATTGTTGCCAAGTTACAGTCTAAAAACCTGCATATTCCGCTAATTTTGACGTAAACGTCAATCCGGGAGGCCTAAACGTTGACGAAAAAATTCAGGAAAATTCAGGCGTTATTTTTAGACCATTTCGCCATTTTTGTGCTACGTCCATTTTCAAAAGGAAAAAAAGCACAAAAACGCTCCACCCTAATGGGGGGGGGGGGGGGCGGGAGCATGTCTTTTGACTCCATAAATTGGCGCGTGAGAATGGATGTGTGTGGACGAGCGTCGTCCTGGTGAAGGATCCACGTTTCCTTCATACATGGGCGTTTTCTACGAATATAGGTTCGAGGAGTATTCAACACACTGATATAATACGCACTATCAACCGTTTGCTTAATGTTTAAACTTTGTTTGTTTGTTTTTTTACCTGAAAAAAGTCCTAAAATCTTGGAGAGGTCCACCCAACACGTCTCCGAAAAAACACTGTATCTTGGTCAATTTTTGATGAAATGAGCTTGGGACAGCCTTTGTACTTTACAACATAGAGAAACAGCCTTTTGGATAATTGTTGTGTGCATTCTGATACTGAAAGTCAGATCTCACAAGTCAAAACCCTGAAATTCTTTTCTGTGATCATTCTTCTTTCATTTGTGCCTCCAATCAAGAAAATTGTCATTCCTTATCTCGTTTATTTCTTGAGCGCGAGCATTAACATAATATTATCACTCACCATGCATCACTTCCTGATGAATTTGTTTTGGTTGATGCTTTTGAAATTTGAGTTGAAATGTCGATTCAGCCATAGCTTTCACCAGAAAATTTCTTCTTTGATTAGACCTTTGATGATTCATTGTCAAAACAGCTTTGGACTGATTAATAATAATGACAACATGAGTGTCATTCATTGATGAATCAGAGATCAAAGATTAATAAATATGAAACGGCGAGAGTAGAAATCGTATCTGACCAAAGTGATTGTCTACATGAAAAACCCACCTAAGACGGATCTGAGAAACTTCGCGTCACCGCAAGGAGATTTTCACTCAGTAATTACACGCAAAATTATTTGTGCAACTGGAGGTATACCTTTGGTGAATTAGTACGGTTAAAAAAAAGTCCTGACAACAGAAGGTAAGCAATAATATCTGTACTTAGCATACCTGGGATACCTAGATATAAAGACAGGGAAGTATTTATAAAAAATACTTCCCTGTCTTGCGAGCCCAAATGTTTTATTTATATCAAAAGTAGTGTGTTAGGAGGCTACTATCTCAAATTTTCGGGGCTCTAGCGTGACTGCTTTGTGAAAAAAAAAAAAAATCATCAAATCGTCAAAAACCTCAATTATTGGGATCGCCAACTTCACTAAGGGGCGATGCGACAGCACTTAAACTTTACCTAAAAATCTGAAACTTGGCCAAAAGTGTTTTCTAACCAAATGTAACACTTTTCTAACCAGAAAACGTAACTTTTCGAGGGTTGAACTTTTTTTGGGACATCCTAATACACAGGTATGCTAAGTACAGATATTGTTGCTTACTTTCTGTTGTCAGGACTTTTTTTAACCGTACTAATTCACCAAAGGTATATCTCCAGTTGCACAAATAATTTTGTGTGTAATTACTGAGTGAAAACCTCCTTGCGGTGACACGAAGTTTCTCAGATCCGTCTTATGTGGGTTTTTCATGTAGACAATCACTTTGGTCAGATACGATTTCTGCTCTCGCAGCTTCATATTTATTGATCTTTGATCTCTGATTCATCAATGAATGACACTCATGGTGTCATTATTATTAATCAGTCCAAAGCTGTTTTGACAATGTATCATCAAAGGTCCAATCAAAGAAGAAATTTTCTGGTGAAAGCTATGGCTGAATCGACATTTCAACTCAAATTACGAAAGCATCAACCAAAAGAAATTCATCAGGAAGTGATGCATGGTGAACTTTTTTTGGGACACCCTACTGTGTATGCACTAAAGTGGTCATGCACAAAGAACTGACACAAACACTGATAACAATCAGTGACCAAGGGGGCAAGACTGGATTAAGTCAGTGTAGTCACTAATTTACTTCTAAAAATTTTACTCATCCATAAATTCGGATGAGACATGCTGACCGGTGGTTTCTTGGCATAAAAAGAACAAATCTGACAACAGAATTGCATGATATTCCCTTATTTCCAAGATTACAGGATGACAGAAAGTTGGAACCTCTATTGTTTACGGGCGCATTAGGATGAGTCTTGGTTTTCAAGGGTATACAGACATGGAGAAAATATTTCTGGCATCAGAACTTAAAAATATTTTACTATTTTCAGGCTCATTGCATTGAAAATGTATGATGAATGTATCTTGTATTTGAAAAAGTACATTGAATTGTTAACCAACGGATCAGCCTCTAACCTGGTTTCCAGATGGAAGGGGGGGGGGTGTCATCTTGAAGATACTTCAATATTTTGCGATTGTTTTGCCAGGTTTATTCTTCTTGCAAGAAGGAGCCTCCCAAAACCACGCTTCATCCTGACTCGCCGGTAAACAACTGAGATACCAATTTTCCGCTATTTTGAAATTCAACTAGCTACTATAATGAGACAATGATAGGCGGCGACCTGCAGTTTTCGTCAAAGGTTTTTTAATTTTTAATGATTTTTTCAAATAGGTATAACATGGTGGGGGTTTCCTTTTGAGATTCTAATGTTGCTCTCCACCCCTCGTCTCCTGGGGGTAGAGGGTCACAAATTATTGATAGGTAAGTATCCATACTTTTTCGACACCCTGTATAATAGCAATTCCATCAGGTACTATTCTACAGAATAGTATCTAAAATGTGGGATGTCGAAATTTATCTAAGTATAAAAACATGGTAATGAGATTGGAAAAGAAAAACGAAGGAATGAACCCTAGCTAATATAAAAGAGTGAATGAGGTTGAATTTTTCTGCCCTTGTGAATATTTCAAAATCACTTGATAAAAACTCACCCCTTGTAAGGCAGCAGGAATCGTGATAATTTTTTGTATAGCACTTCCAATGCGCTCAATGTAATAATCCCAATCTAATACTTCTCTGATATCAACATCATTTAAGGTTCCATCCTTCAGCCATTTCCGTAAGAAATGTCTTTTGACACTGGACTCAGCTTGAAAAATGGCTAGCGGTACAGCACTAAAAAAAAAAAAAAATGAAGGTAGGTTTTTGCAAATTTGATAAATTTTTGGAGAAGAGAGAGGTAAGTAAACTTTCAGGATAATACAAGAGAGGAGAGGATGGGCGAGCATAAAGAAAGAAAAGAAACCAAACTTTGTTAAACAAAAATTGTGAAAAATTCACAATTCAAAGGGGCAAAGTGCGCAGCGAGACAATTTTTCTTACTTAAAATGGGATAAACATTTTTATTTCTTGATGTGGAATGACACAAAGTACATAGGCTGTCCAAAAAGTACCAAGACTGGTTCTATAACTCAAGATAGCTAGAGGCTTGATCTTGGTCTCATTTGAAAGATCAACTCAATATTTATCGATTAAGACCAAAATCAAAACTTTCAATCAAATATTTCAAAAGTTACAACACTGTTTGTAAAAAAAAAATAGCTGGACCCCCTACCGTTTTTAATGACTATTTTCTCTTGCCGGGAACACTCTCTAAATTATTAATGATCAGTGCACGGTTCTTTTGCAACTAATCATGGCAAAACCTAATTGATTTGGAAACACTGTCAAGCCGTCGTCGTTCGACTACGGGTGTAAGGGTTCAAAATCCACGAGGAAAGAATGAACCGTCGATTAGCCACCCCCAAAAAACTCGGGAAATTTTCGGCAGTTGATGACAGTTCACAGTGCGTGCGTGGTCTACGCTACAGATAGTGAGTGATTTTGTTTCTGTGTGCGAAATTTTTGATATCATCATGGAAAGAGATAAAGTAGTGGCCCGAGTTTTTTGGGGGTGGCTGATCGACGGTTCATTCTTTCCCCGTGGATTTTGAACCCTTATACCCGTAGTCGGACAACGACGGCTTGACAGTGTTTCCAAATCAATTAGGTTTTGCCATGATTAGTTGCAAAAGAACCGTGCACTGATCATTAATAATTTAGAGAGTGTTCCCGGCAAGAGAAAATAGTCATAAAAAACGGTAGGGGGTCCAGATATTATTTTTACAAACAGTGTTGTAACTTTTGAAATATTTGATTGAAAGTTTTGATTTTGGTCTTAATCGATAGATATTGAGTTGATCTTTCAAATGAGACCAAGATCAAGCCTCTAGCTATCTTGATTTTTGAGTTATAGAACCAGTCTCGGTACTTTTAAGACAGTCAATGTAGATCTGTTCACTTTCCACTAGTTCTTAGCTCTCTTGCAAACAATTTCAGCTAAAAACCACCACTCCATCAAAACACCACATATAAAAATAATAAGGAAAAAAGCTAGAGTTTAACCATGTGACAAAAAGGTTGGTGACAGGCTTATTTATCAATAGATTTAGGTTGATGTTTAGTAGTTCTCTGGAATGACAAATTTGATGTTGAAGAGGAAAGCATCTATTGGTAAGAAGCTAAAGAAAACGGTCACTTAAACACAGATTTTTAAATTCATTATAAAAACCTTTGGGATAAAAAAGTAGGTGTAGTTATTTTTCTAACTTTTGGACAATGGGAAAATTCTGAAAATGCTCTTTAAAAAAGGCCATGATTGCTGAGGATTCAAACAAGTTCCGTTTGGCAGGAAATTGATTGATGTCTATTGATTACTCATACCTGAGCGCTTCTTTTCCCAAATTTTCAGACCCCCAAAAAATTTTGGGGGGAGCAGGGGGGGTGGAAGTCAAAACCTGTGAACCTCGATATCTCTCAAACGAAGACAGATATCGAGGTCCGGTTTGGACGAAAAATCGTCTAAAATTGCATACTTTAAGAGTCTAAAGGTCGAAATCCCGATATCACATTTTTAAGTCAACATATGTGCTTTTTTCCAGTTTTTAGGTCTAAAAAATTTATTTTAAACGAAAAATTTACAAAGATCTCAATTTTTTATTTGAACCAAAGCCAGTTTTTTAAATTGATCGTCTTTTTCCGCATCCAACGAGTGGTTCATTAAGCTGGGGAACCAAACGGTTCCGGAGTTATGATCGATTGAAGTTTCCGCTTAACGCGCGCCGACCGATTTTCGCGCGCAAAAAAGTCGAATTTGACTGTTATTAAATCAGATTGAATGTTCAAACTGAGCGAAACGCATTATTAGGGACTCTTGAGGGTCGCTGAGTTCAGAAATTACAGATACTTCCAAAAAATTCACGTTTTTAAAATTACAGCTCCGTACAGGACCACTGAGCGGCCGGTCGGCGCTCAGTGGGCCTCTAAAATAGCGCTACAGAGCTGTAATTTTAAAAACGTGAATTTTTTGGAAGTATCTGTAATTTCTGAACTCAGCGACCCTCAAGAGTCCCTAATAATGCATTTCGCTCAGTTTGAACATTCAATCTGATTTAATAACAGTCAAATTCGACTTTTTTGCGCGCGAAAATCGGTCGGCGCGCGTTGAGCGGAAACTTCAATCGATCATAACTCCGGAACCGTTTGGTTCCCCAGCTTAATGGACCACTCGTTGGATGCGGAAAAAGACGATCAATTTAAAAAACTGGCTTGGGTTCAAATAAAAAATTGAGATCTTTGTAAATTTTTCGTTTAAAATAAATTTTCTAGACCTAAAAACTGGAAAAAAGCACATATGTTGACTTAAAAATGTGATATCGGGATTTCGACCTTTAGACTCTTAAAATATGCAATTTTAGACGATTTTTCGTCCAAACCGGACCTCGATATCTGTCTTCGTTCGAGAGATATCGCGGTTCACAGGTTTTGACTTCCACCCCCCCTAGCTCCCCCCCAAAATTTTTTGGGGGTCTGAAAATTTGGGAAAAGAAGCGCTCAGGTATGAGTTATCAATACACAAAGTCTGAAGAAATTCCAGAGGGGGGGCGAAAAAAGCCGTTTTTGCATCAAGCTCTTCAGGGAAAATTACCCCGATATTTTATATGTAAAAATCACCATGACTGTATAATAAGATTAGAAAATAAAAATTAAAACATACCGATCAGTCACAGGAAACCCTTCAGGCTTTTTAGATATGATAAACTTGCAGGCAAGCCCTGCATCTTTGACCATTTGATCCCCTAAAAATTCAGCAAGTCTTTTAGCAGTGCTAATTGATGTTGATTTTTGACCACCATAATCTTCCAATTTCTTTGACATGGAGCGATTTTCGGAAATGAGCTCAAACAGTTCCGAGTCAGGCATGTTGCAAGCCTAAAATGATCGAGCACATTTTCATTGATTGGAGTTAGTTATAGTATTTAAGGAATTTTTGCAGTTGAGACTTTGAGAGCAACTTAAAAGCATATTACAAGGGTCATCCAGAAAATACGTTTACTTATTCAATATCGCCTAAACTAAGATAGATAAAGAAAATCTGTAAAATGCATTAAAAAGCCACTACTCTCAGCTTTCTAACACACTATAGATTTTCAAATTTGGTACAATAGAACTCTAGAAACGTGGATTTTTCTGAATCCATCTGCATCTCCTCTCCGCGCAGGTCCAAAATTTCATGGAGCAAAATTTCATGGTCATCAGCAAATGAGCTGCTATGTCTATTGCTCATTGCGAAAGAGTGACTTAGAGTTGGTTGAATTTCATGTAAAATATGGGGAACCACATTTCTAAATCAGAAAATAGTAGGTTCATTCGATATTGGTGGGTCTAAACTGCAGCACAAGAAAAGGTTAAGCTACTATTGGTTAACTCGTGGAGTTATGCCAGCTAAATTTGGTTTTGGTGTGTGAATTGCGCTCTATAATTCGTTTTTTAACCAAAAAAGGTGATCAAAGCTGCTCAAATTCAGGTTGATTTACCGTAAAGATGTTAGAAATGTTGCATGTTTTTCAAAATGATGCATCTATGACAAAAAATTTTCTAAAGCAGGCGGAATAACATAAAGCCCTATGAACAATTCAGACAGTAAGTGAAAAGTTAACACTGACAACTTAGTTAACTTTTGTTCCAATACAACTAATGTTACAGTACACACAGTCAATCCTACAATTTCCTAGCTGATCAATGTTTTTCCTAATGTTTTACATGACTTTTGAAGATACTTCTTATCTTACTAACAGGATACTACCATACTTTAGTGAAATATTTGTAGCAAATACTTTTTAAAGGGAAAAGAAGAATCAAACCAACTTTTGCAGAATGAAGATTATTAGTCATCGTTCAAAAAGGTAAAAGAAGAAAAGAAACCTGGAAAGCTAAAAACCGTGATACTTGGTTGAGTGCTTCCACCATTGATAGTTTTACCAATTTTACCTTTTTCAAACCTTGTTGGGAGCAATTCTAGAATATGTTGGTTTTCTCCGGTGGGTAGCTTTTAAGAAGTACACACTTTGGAAGGATGAATGTGTTGAAGAACAATTTGCTGATTCTTCTTTCCATAGAAACAAATTTAAAGGTGTGGGTTGCAGTCACATACCTTGCTATAAAGAACATCAAGCCAATAGTCCGCTACTTTTGCCACATGGCTATAGCACTCCTCCAAAGTTTTCCCTTTCAAAAATGCTTCAAAAACTGAGGACTGGAAAATTTTGATGAGTTGCAATTCACCTCTTCGTTTTACCTCAAACCTGGAAAAAAAAAGAATTAGATTGAAACACAATTTGAACTTCAGTGATATATATTTTAGTGATGTTTTCCTGCAAAACCTAGGTAACAGAATGTTGCTGCGTGACAATAAACGCGTTGCCTCCCTGGGCAATGCATTTAATTGTTCCTTTATTTTTCTTTGAGGGAGAGTTGTTACATACCTTTTTACATTTCCTGTCTTTGTTTGGCTCCGCCTCTTGAGCATGAAGCGGTGCTGCGGTTGCAGCTCAGTGAAAGGAAGCACGAAAAAAAAAAATAATGCAGATATCAGGAACAAAGACTCAACGCCCGGCCCGAACACAATGAAGGAAATATCAAAACATAAGAAAACCATAATTCCTGGAGGAAAATCACCACTCACATCTTGAGAACAATGAAACACGTTCGCACGCTCTGACCAAGGTAACTCAGATAGAAATATGGCGTCTCTCTGTAACCATCCCTCTCTCTCTCTCTCTTTCTCCAGTGTCCAGCACTCCTATTGGTGGAGCAAGTCATATGACCGGATCCCTCAATGGGAACACAGACACTAGACAAGGGACACTAGGGAGGGAAATAGAAATAACCATTATACATATTTATATGTCACAGAACCCCCAACAAATTGTGATCTCTGCTAGGAAGCCAGTGCAAAAAATATTTTACATCCCCAAAGAGACCAGCTAAGAAAAAAAATACTGAAAAGTTGTGTTCGAATCATTCAGGTTACCATAAATTTATTAGAAAAGAGTTTCTTTTTCAACAAATTTACATTTAAATCAAGTAAAAAGTACAAACGTTTTTTTCTAAAATTCTGTTGCATAAGATAACACATAGTAGGAACAAAATTTAGGAAGCAATAGTAAGTTTTGCAACATATTTGGTGTGGGCACCTTGAAATAACATTCTGGTTGGCTCATCTTAGAATAAATTTTTTTAATTTGTTATCTTTTAGAGTTTGCATATAAGACTGAAATTTTAAGGTTTCAATAGGAATGTAGAGGTAGTTTTCATACTTGCTCACCGTGGTGACTCATGAAGTCATAAGTACATAAACAAAGGAACCTAGTTGCAAAATAAAAAATAAATGCTGAAGTTTGCGTATTTCACATGGGGAATAACAATGGATGTCTGACAACATATTAAAATAAAAAAAATAAGGACATTGGCCATGACATAGGGGACCATGAGTGACCCAGTCTGCTTCTGGCTCATGGGGTTTTTTGACAGGTGCCGAGCTTGATAGAAGCTTTGGAATTAACTGTGTCTCCTCCCTATCCCGGTAAGTTAGCTTAGGCAATTCCAATATTTGAGGGAACAACATAATACACAAAATAACACTGAGAACAACAATATTCACTCAGGGAAGTAAGTATCCCCGAGCAGGCCTGAGAAAATTACACCAAAGGAAATGTGTCTTAGGCTTAACAGATATCCCCCGGTTAAACTTAAGGATGGAAAAACAAATTAGAGACTACAGAAGTTGGATATAATTTTGAAGATTCATTAAAGAAATTAGAGAGTTTGTAACTGATAGTAGGATCATCTGTCATTAAAAAAAAGGGTTTCATTACAAGTAAAATCAAAATAAGTGACAAAAGCACTAAAGACATGTCGGTAATGATAAGCACAATAGTAGTAATATGACAATGGGAATTTTTCCCTTGAGAAAGGTCCTCTATTGGACAGGAGAAACTTAAAACAAGACTTACTAATGAAGTTGTAGTATGTTAACCATACTAAAAGGACATTTTACTGCTGGGAATTTCACGACTTTTTGAGGAGTCGGGTGGCTGTAACCCCCTATCCCCGACAGGAAGAATAGATCACGGTGCAAAAAAAAAAAAAATCCATGTTTACAAATTATAGACTTGTGACGACAGATTTGAATTCTACTTCAACATTTAAATGGTTTCAGCTGAGCTGCACTGAAGACACCAATTATTTGCGGTTTAGGACCTTCAGCCACCAGTTGGTATGCATTACCGCTGATGGACTTTTGGATGATGTAGGGGCCTTCATATAAAGCAAAAAAAAATTTTAATTTCTCCATATGGAGCACTGAATTAATGGTGGGCTTTTACTAATACTTTGTTATTGATTCGGAAATCTGCTTTTATTTTAGCTGCACGCTTGTTAAGGTTTTCTGCAATTATTGTAAGTTTGGGTTTTAAGTTATTACTGTTTAAATTTTGAGGAAATTCAATTCATTCTAATAGGAAATGTTGAGGACTTCGGTTTTTCATAATTGAGGAGTTTTCCGGAAAAAGGGCACATACCCAGAAAACGCGTTGTGAGAAAAACGCATTTGAAGTTATCATTCTTACTTTCTGGGCACTGATGGTTGCATACATCGGAACTGGGGCACTTATATCGACGTTCATACACCCTAGAATGAAAAACAACCACTGGTAAAACTTACACTTCTTTCGGTGTTATGGAAGGAATTTTTTAAAATTTTCCGTTATGAGCCCTTTTTCCAGAAATGGACCGGTGGTCATAGGCTTTGGCTTTTAAAGCTGAATTGTCGAGACTTTTAACGAGTTTCGAAATGAAAATAAAGTTTTTTCACCTTTTCTACATAAAATAAAATAAAATAAAAAAAAAACTTCTTTCTATTTTTTTTTAAAGACTTACATCTTGTAGCTTCAAACGTATTTTAGCTGTATGGAAGTGTTGTATCCTAAGTTGGTATTCATGTCAACAGCATGCGGAATATAGCCCTTGCTAGGTGTAAACCCTGTCTTGGGAACAATGTACCCTCACGAATACACGTTCGCCTTCCTTGTCCTTTAGTTTTCATTTTATTATTTCCTTTCGTTTTTTCATTCATGGTCTAGTTACATCAAATGGCGACGAGTATTTAAATCTGTAAAAAACCCGCAGGTCAACCTGCGTTGAGAAAAGTTGAGGTGTTGAACTCGCAAACCCGTGCCGCGTGTGATACAGGCCACCAAGTGCGCGCCAGTACATATCATGATGGATGACAATCTCACCCTGGTTCTTTCCGTTTCTCGTCTTCAGTAAAAACCTCAATCATCTCTACTCATCAAAATGACCGCTTTAGAAGAACTCAACTCAAAAATCAAAACATTAGCATCTCTGGTTGGGAATCTTGCAGATCTACAAGCTACTCAAGCTTCTCAATCCTGGACTATCAGCTCTCAGCCTCCTGTTCAACAATTCAGTTTCCCTGCGTATTCCGTAACCTCAAGCGAATCTCTTGAAGAAAACTTCAAACGATTCAAGCTCAAACTGCAACTTAGCAATATCCCTGATGAAAACTTTGCAAGCTATCTTCGTATTCATATGGACTCGGATCTGGTCTCAACATAGGATAACATCTATTATCCCACGAACGTAGGTTCCCTTTCTTTTGATAACATAACCAAAAAGTTGACCGATCCTCTTATTGCTTCAAAAAACATGTACAGTGAAGCCATCAAGTTTAGGGATGTTGTGCAAAAATCTGGCGAATCATTTTCAGAATATGTTACTCATCTGACGTCTGCTTCCCACTAAAGTGGATTTGGAACCTTTCTTGACTATTCTTTGACTGTCCAAAGTATTCATGACATTATCCTTAATGATATTAGAGATGAAATTGTCAGTATTAAACCAGAAAATTTTAATAAAGCTCTGTCCACTGCACTTGATATGGAGGCCACCCGTAAAGCGTCCACTATAGTAAAAGTCACTGATTCCAAAATTCACAAATTTTACCACAAAAGCAGACAAAAAACTCGGAAACAACTCTACTCCAGACATTCTTCTTGCTCAAATAGTAATTCAAGCCGTAGTCGTTCCAGCTCTCCGAACTCAAGACCTTTCAAGCGTTATTGGAGCCCCATCCTTCTTATAATAAATCTAGCATTCAGTCTACAAATGTATCTTGCCAATACAGCGGCGGCTCGCATGAAAGATTCTCTTGCAAGTTCCGGAACTCCATCTGTAATCACTGCAATATCAAGGGCCACATTTCCTCAATTAGCCGAAAAGCCAAGTTTGCTGGCAACAACTCTCACCAATCTCAATCTCGTATGAACTCTCTCACCGATGAAAACCCTTAAGATCAAAGTTTAGAGGAACCGGACTGTACTGAATTTTTACAGGTAAATGCTTTTATGAATAATATCAACTTGGAGAGGAAAAACCAGTATCACATTCCAACCCTTTTAATGAGCGTCTCAACCTGTTATGCCCATATCAGACGATCAAAGTAGAGGCTTCACTAAAGCTGTTTCGAGCGACCGCTCATCGTCAGGTGATTAAAAAAATGTATAAAAACTAAAATTACGATGTGTTTTTCCAATCGCGAGTGGCTCAGTATCCGCGTCCGCGTGATTGCGGTGGCGGTTTCCATGAAAACTGGTAACCCCGCCTCAACGCGAATTCCGACGGAAATTAGGCAATGTTGTCAACACAATGTCGCAAATGGTCAGTTTAGGTTAACAAATGTAGCTGGATAAGATTAAATGAGTACTGCTTTAAATTGTGATCGCAGCGGTGGTTTTCATTGAAAACCGGCAACACCGCCGCTACTTGAATTCCTAAAAATCATGTGAAAGTTTCAAAAAAGCGCAAAACATGAACTGACTTTTCGAATTATGTTTGTTCTAGGCGTTTTGCTCTAACACGGAGTTGCGAAACGTACCTAAACGAGCGTCAATATCGGGCGTCGGGCGTGTTGCCGAATTTTCAAATCGCTATAACTCGTGTTCCCTAAGTCTCTCAGAAAAGTATAATATATCGATGGATGCGGAATGGAACGAACAATAATTCCGACAGGTTTTTATTCAATCCCCACCAACCGCAAACACTTTTTTAGGCGGTAACGTGATTTTAAATAATTACGAAAATGAAAAATGGCCAAAACGTGGCAACAATGGAGTCAAATTAAAACTTCTTTGGCATAGGTCGATAGAGCGTAATTTTTTGCATCTTTTGGTATAAGTACGAGCTCTGTAACTGCATTTCTGCGAAAGTTATGGATGTTTGAAGGTTACGACTTTAAAAATTGGCAACGCTGTTTCTCTGCGGTTCCTGCAAAAACGGAGCTAGGGATAATAAGCCTCTCTCAACTAGTACTATCAGCCCACAAAGTTTCGTACATTCCGGGCTGGGTACATTTTTCGTCTATATGAATAAATACTATTATTATTTGTTTACTACTATTATTTGTTTGTTACTACTTATTTGTTTATTTATTTCCTCTTTTTGCCATTCTTCAATCCATAATCAATTAGGTACCCTGCAAGAAAATCAGTCAACTAATCCTTGGTTACCTCGTGGGACAATCATTTTTTCATGGGGGTACAACTTATATTTGTGGTTGGTAGTGTCTTATACTGACTTCAACCGAAGGTTTTCTGCCAACGATTTCTTATCGCTGTTTTTAAAGACCCTTCTACATATGAACCAAAAACCATGTGCACTTCGTCGTGGTCAACAAATTTTTTGCAAACCAATTCCGCAAAATATAACCCTGATTCATGGCACGTTTTGGTCGATTCGGGTTTGCACGTCATGTGTAACAGGCCATACCATCAACAATTGCGACATCTCCACTTAATGATTCCTCTGAACCGATCTCCACCAAATTACCGTCTGGATCAGTATCTATTCCAGGCGGAGCCTCAAGGACCTCAGTGAGCTTGTACTTTGCTAGGCAGTGGTGCATAGATCCATCGGACAAGAAAAGAGCTTCCGGCACGACCGATAACTCATACTGTAAGATGCATTCTTTCATGTCCACCTCAGGTCTCGATCGTGAGGCAATAATCAGAAGTGATAAAAGTGGTACGAGGTATCTGCTCTAATTTAAACGATTTTGCCTTTTCGATCCACTTAGGCCTTTTTCACAGCAGATTTAAATGTTTTTAATTGCAATTGTTTCCAAAGGCAACCAGAACAGTTGATCTTTGTTTTTAATTCACTCGTCAACAAAAGTGGTGAATTGTTTCTCTCCAATTTCTACAACGTTTGTCACATCATGCTGAATATCTAGCGACAAAATTTGTTGAGAAACAATTTGGATTAAATTTTGACTTTAGCATGAAAAGGGGTTCAAAACTTGTGGCAAGTTGTGAAATATTTCTGTCTTGTCGTTTTCTCTGCGTCATGGACAAACTGTGGTGAGGAGTTTTATTAATATCTTTTTTACATGCAAATTTTTCCACCTTTGATGAAATTCGATTAAGTTCAACATCCGCCAAGAAAAATTTAGCCCTAGCTGCCTCACTTTGAGTAATGCCTGTAAGACCTCCTAATACCTTCAAACGTCTATTTTCTTGCTCTAATGCCTTGTCGGCACCCAGGGCAGAAAAAAATACATTGCTCTTGTTCACAACCCAATTTCCGAAGAGAAACTCCTCGTAGATGAGAGGATTCGTTTTTTCTAAATTGGCCAAATCTGATAGGTATAGAGCTATCATTCTTGCATAATTTTGCCGATCCATATCAAAGAAATATTTTCTGAAGTTATGGAGTGCTTCTAGTGAAAGCTTCCAATCGGATGACCGAACAGCCTGAGAAAGAAGTAACATAACTTCAACCATGTCCATGTAGGTTTTGCAGACTTTAAATACTGGCTCACTCGTTCCTCCCTTTTCACAAAATGCCGCTAGCTACTTAAAAAACTCACTTCCTTGAAATACAGAGACGATATTAAGATATGTATCTCCAATGTTCTTCTCGCTTCATATCGAAATTTTTTATTGAAGGGATGGGAAGCTTTCATTATATACAACGAAAAATTCCTCTCTAAGTAAGATGAAAAGTGCGGACAGCGTGACCAAGATGGCGGCCGAATTTGGCATTCAAACGGGACAAAGAAGGTTTAATGTATCCAAAATGCAGTCTTTCCCGTATGTAGCTTAAAAGTAATCAACTTCAAAAACATTTAAAACTTGCATGGACTCTTATTTCGGCCGTATTCGACGTTACAACCCCGCCCCTCCCAAGGAAAGCTAAAACTGGGCGCCATCTTGGATTTTAGGCATTTATGTGCGTTGGCTGGTTCAGTGGACCATTTTGTTGAACTCTCCGACCCAAAATACCTGTATTTAGACATATCGCACATCCCATTCTGATATTGCCACGGAGTATCAGGAACAGTCTAACCAAAATGGCTGCCAAATTTGGCCCTTACATGGACCAAATCAGGACTATTTGGCATGATTTGGTTTTTTTACTTTTTTTTTGGAATTTGCGACCTCGAAAACATGTGTCTAGAGTATTTACTTCTCTCTTTGGGCCGCATTTGACGTTTTGGCCACTAAAGCGCCAAATTCGGCTGCCATCTTGGATTTGGGGCGTTTCCGTGGGTCGGAGGGTGTGTTGGACATTTTTTTTTGGAATCTACGACCCAAAAAGATGAGAATCGGCACCTCACTCGATGTATTGTGTCGTTTTACCGAAATTTCAATTTTTAGCCGCCATCTTGTTTTGGGGGCCTCCAAATTACAATCGGGGAGTCCACCAAAAATTTTCTCATTCTAGGGACCAATATGAAGAGATTAAGCCATGGTGGCAACTTGTATCACGAACATGCACACTAGTTGACACATGCCCCCAGACTAATTTCTATTTTACTTTTATTGAGGGTTAAAATATCATTCCTCATCAACTGGCTACTAAATACTCACCCTTTCAATTCAGCCAGAGATCCATCAAAATTGAAAACGGCATAGCGTTTTTTGAGCTTCTTTCCCTCTTCTTTGGATGCTGGTAACACCATAGCTAGGTAAGGACCATCAACTTCAAAGAAAATTGAGTTCTCACTGCGAGTTTCATAGCTGAGAGTTTTCGGATCCGTCAGTTCATGATAAACGTGATTAGTAAAATATTCCTAGAATCATGGTGAAGAAAGTAACCATTTAGTACAGTGAAATCTTAATCAGTTAGACAGTCAAGGGACTAGCATTCTGTTCGACTTGGGAAAAGTTTGGACAGGGTGTCTACACGATTTTCAAAATGAAATTCCCTGACAATTCCAGGTTTTCCATGACAAAAAATAACAAAATTCCCTGACTTTTTGGGTTTAGCCATACGATGAACTAGTTAGAAAATTTTTAAAAAAAAACTATCCTTAGGAATAACCCCGTAAAGTCATATTCTGAATTACCATGGCGTTGGGAGGAGTTGAGTAATACTTTTGAAAGGAACGAGATCCTAAATACTCAAAATAAAGCTAATTCCAAAATGGTATACTCAAACTAAAATTCACCTTCAAAATTTAATTTTTAAGCTCTACTACGCTCTCTTTGTGACACATTGCCCCGTATACTTTTGAAAATTCAAACTTTAGTTCACCCTGGTGATTCCATAAATATTGGCATATTACTCAGTGCCCTGAAAATACAAGTTTCTTTTTCTTAAAATAGAAAACAAGAGTTGTAAATGTGCCTAACTCAGGTAGATTTTGCTATAATCAAGAGGAAATACGAGTCTCTTCTCGATTTTAGATAAATTTGCTTGATTCGGGATTTTTTTTTTTTTTTTTTTTTTAGGTCAATTAATTCAATGGATTCCAGAACCTATTGTTGGTATTGAATTTGTCTTATACTCAACAAGCATTGGCTTGTTAGAATATAATCCACCAATAATATTTCTACAAGGTGGATGCACCAGTTGTGAACATGTTGATTTAAGAACCAGAAAAATTTCATGCAAAATGCGGTTGACATTAAATATTTCTTTACTCAGTTAAAGAAAAACTAAAATTCTAGCCTTTTCATTAAATTTCCTAACTTATTGAAAAAATTGATTAACCATCTGCTCAAAACTAGGGCACTTAGTTTCCTATCATTATTTACTGTAATTTTCTGCTGTTAGCAAGTTAACTTCATTCAAGTCTATTTAGTCTATCTTGCCATTTAGCATGAATTAAGTAGATAAATTAAATAGGGCAGATCGATTCGATCTTTAAAGTTAGGGAACACACATTAGTGAACCTAGCGGCCGTGTAGCAAACTGGTTGAACAGAGCAGTTTACATTATCAGCCACGCAAGCGAGCTACTCGGCAAATTCGGCAGTGACGAGCAAAAATAGCCGCGAAATGTTCGAATTGCGAAAATTCCCTGACTTTCACCGGTTTTCGATCGAATTCCCTGACTTTTCCCGGTTTTACAGACAGTGATCAAATTCCCTGATTTTTCCCGGTTTTCCCGGTTTTCCAGACCTGCAGACACCCTGTTGGAGTGTTGCCAATTTCAGCTCATGTGAACTCCTGTCAAAGGTTCTTCCAAAATTTGCCGATTAAACCCATTAGATCCTAATCCTAAAAATACTTACTCAAGCAGTAATTACGCTTTCATGATTGAATGAAACAATCTATACAGCTAATGAATATAAAATATTAAATTAAGTTGATGTTTAAGTTGACCAGGTTAACTGAAACGCATACTCCAACAGGAACATAAACTGGATGTGTTCACGAATGAATGAAAGTAAAGTTAAAACTGAAGATGGATTCGATCACCAAATGAGGAAAAAAATAGGAGCAACAGACTTCACACTTCTGCTTAATGGGAGTACCACCACGATTCCGATTCTTGAACCTCTCAAAGCCCTGGAGCCAATATTGGCCAATAAGAATGACGATAAGCATCACAACAGGACAGTGCAGGAAGTTCCAAAACGCCAACCATTTGTCGCGATCCGGCGTTTTTGCCTCACAGCATATTTTCCAATTTGCCCCACGCCATAATTCCGATTTGCCTCAAAGCCAAACGTGCGAATTAACAACCAAATGCCCGATTTTCCAGTAAAATAGGTACTTTGTCTCTTTTCTTTTGAAGCATACAGCGAAAAAAATAAGAAAAAAAAGCGTCATCACTTCTGAAAATTGCTTCACAACTGCAGATTAGCCTCTTGTTTGCCATGGTTTAAAGATCGCCTGACCAGGTATTTTCAGCACCCCTGTAGCACCACTTAGGTCCTACTTCATGCCATACATGATCCAATTTTGCAACAAGTCTAGGACTACGTCTACTTGTTGTGACATTCTAGGTGGCGGTAGCCACCCCGGCCCAATCCAAAAAACTCCCCCTAAAAAATAACGAGACCAAATGAAAAAAAGAAAAAAAAACCGACGGGTGGCTGCTGCCTAACTAGTTTACACGAAACAACGCGACGGGGCTTTTCTGCACGGTTTGCGGTCCATTTAGCTCTCCTGCTAATTAAGTCGTAGAGCAAACCCCAAAAACCCTATAATATTTGGGTAGAGTATGCTCAGCTCTACTCGTAATGCCCACCCTTTTTAAGTTTAGTTAAATATTAAAAAAGTTACTAAGCTTTAACCACAAATTTTGGACCCCAAAACATGACGATGATGGAATTGACCAAGAGCAGATTCGGGACAGATTCGAGGCCCGCGAACGCGGGAATAGCGGTTGTGACTTTCCAATCGGCCTACAGCTATAACCGTAAAAGAAACCCCTATAAAACTGTAGATATTTTGAAACTACTGTTTATAATGCAGACTCATTTTTTTGCAAATTAGAACTAAATGTGGCATAAGGGAGAAATAACGAAAAATAGGTCAAATTTTAATGATTCCGGAGGCCGACCTGTGTAGAGGGCTGTGGAAGTAATGGTAGCATAAAACCCATTAAACTAGGTAAAATTTAAATCTGTAGACGCCGGAGATGGAACTTTTGGTACTTTCGCAGACTTACATAGACTTCGAAAGGAGAAATAATCGAAAGAAGGAGCGGGTCCTTCAATTTTTCAAACACATTTGATTTGAATTTGAAACAACTTGTAAAACCGCGCGATGGATGGTGAGCGCCGACTCCAGAAACTAAATTTCAGGTTATGCTACTGTTTTATTATGGCTTTAAATATCTAAATAATAAGAAAAAGGTAGATTAATTGATGCGTGTTTCCATTTTATGGAACACCTGGAGGTAGCCGAAGATAACTGGATCAATTTCTATAAAACCCTTTTATGATTCCCGCACCCTTGATAAATTTAGTTGTCACAGTAAGTACTCGGATCAACCTGCCATTTCTTCCCAGCGGCCCTGATCTAGCGATCTTTTCAAGTAATCAAGTAATTGTTCATGAATGATTGATGATATCCCACTATAGTGAGTCCTAGATACTATTTCTCGTTAATCAGATTCAGCAACTTTCCACCAGAAAATCATTCTTTCCCTCAAAACGATGATGTGTGTCGGGGATCTCAATCGGTGGGAATGAATCTGCGTTTCCACTTTCTACTAAAATTTTGCTAGCAGCTAGGCAGCCTACCTCCTCAGGAGTTGATGTGTGTTTCTCAGTGTATCATGTAACTGGTGCCTAAAGCCTGTATGTCTTCGTAGACTTGTGATGCTTTATATTGGAAAACCGGTTGACGCATTCACCCGTTAGTCTTGGTTATGTGTCTACTTAAAGAAGCTACGCTTCACTGAAACGAAACCACTTCAATGAAATCGACTCAATGTCACAAAATCAAAGATACTTGACTTCAAGCATTAGCTTTAATTTGATTATTATCAAGTCTCTTTGATTCTGGGTCAGAAGTTGATTGAATCATCAAAGCCTGTGTTTGGATAAAATTCTTCAAATCCAGGTCTTTCATATTGACCTGTGCAGAAGGTATGTATCTTTACTACTACTTCATTGGTTTGAAAAAATTGAGATGCTGACTAATGCAGGATATACTTGATGATAACCTCTCTATACATTCGCTAAAATTTGCAATACCTGGAGACGCAAATTCCGTCACTGCTTACCACGCCACTGCTTACGCATATAGGAGATCATGCAAAGCGGCTGTTCAATATAAAACATCAGTGCCTCTTGACCTCTAGATTATCTGAGTTCTCGCCTGACAAATATACCCACTATGAGAGTGCGACAGAAAATTAGCTGTTCCATTTAGCACGGAAATTGGATACAAGAATTAATTCTCTGGCACACCCTGCAAGTGCATTAAAACTCATTAGATGTGGACTTTTGATGACCAGAGCTGGCAGGTTATTAAAAACTATCAATCGAGACTCAAAGAGCCAAAAATTTTAGTCCGGGCGACTAAAATTTTTGGCTGCTACAGCCTCAACATCCACTGACTATCTCCTTTGATGAAGCGTAAACTGCTCACATTTCTCAAGATAAGGAATGCCTGCGCTTGAAAAGCATCTTTCATAAAACAGAAAGCATTGATATCTACCAGTACAACTGGTAGGTAAGCAGGATGCTAACTTTGTGTACAAAGTATACAAAGTATTGTCTACCAGTCTTGATGAGGCAGTGTCCTGCATCCTCCATACTGCTGATTAAATTGTAGGTCAGAGAGGCTGGCTATCCGTAGTAGGTATAGATAATGGAACACATTATTGACTTACCTGCAGTGAGCTGCAGAATTTAGTTTACATTTTATCATCAGCTTGATAGAATTAAAAGAAAGGTGTCCACGTTGGATATAAAAGTCAGCCCTATGTAAAGGATATGTCTCTACTGTAAAACCCTGTGAATTCATGTTCACAGCATAGGTACAGTACAAAAGAGACGGACAATACAGAATAGTCCTAAATCACAAGTGGCTCCTAAGTTGTTGTTCATCTGACTCCTTGCCTAAAAAATTCCTTCAGAATATGCATTGCTTTACTTCATCATTGAAAGAATAAACAAGAATTCTCCGTTTTACCCTGATAGCGCATTAAAACTCAATCCGTACCAAGTACGGCATCTGCATGACCAGAAGTAGCGGATGCAGGCTCATGAAAATGAAATTGTATCAAACTGTTTCATTACAGTTCAAAAGATTTATGCTATTGCGATTGCAATTTCAGTAGTGGCAACTGTAATTTTTGCTTGCGAAAGGATCAACTTTTGCTGCTAATCTTTTCTGATGAAGAGTGAACTGGTCACATTTCTCAAGATACATAATGCCACAGCTTTAGAGAAAGCTCTCATAAAACCAAAAATTATTGATAAATACTTACTTACTTTGTCAAACGCTATCTTTATGAGACGGTATCAAGCGTTTGCAATGTTATTACTGAGGATGAAATTAGAGTTCGGAGAAATTGCAATTTGAATGGTCAAAGGACCTGGCAGGCATAACTGGGTATAAGCAGCGTAAATAATAGTGATCCTGCACTGAGCTGCAGAATTTAGCTCGCATTCTATCATTAGCTCCAATAATCAAAAAAAAAGTGTCAGATATAATGTGAGACATAAAAATTAGCCCTAAGCATAGGTGATGTCCCTACTGTAAATCCTGGTTTTGTGCCTACCGTACACAGGAGATGGAACATTACATAAAAGTCCTATATTAAAGGCGGCACCCAAGTTGTTGATTATCAGGGTTCTCGCCCGATACATTCACCCACTTTGAAGGTGTGACAGAAAATATACTGGTTAATTTTATCTTTGAAAGTAAACCCATTAGTAATTAAAATGGCACTCTCCCTTTCACCCTGTTGCGCGTTTAAAATCAATCAGTCGATGTGGACTCTAGTTGACCGGAATGGGCAAATGGAGAATCCTAATGATGAAAGTTATCAAAGGGTTTCATTGCAGCAGGCCGATTATTGAAAGTTTGAAGCAGTCTGATAAGAGATCAAAATGCGATATATTGCACGGTTAAGATAGGGCTGTCTTGCCTTGTCCTACTGACATAGTTTCAATAATCAGCATGCAGTTGAGAAAATTTATGTCATCACAACTAAAGTTTATTGTATACCATCTCCTTATGAACGGTAAGATTAAACGTAAGTACCAAGATGATTTCATATGTTGTCTAGATAGGAATGCACATAGTAGACAAAATAAGTAGCATCTTTTCGTTTCAAGCACATCGATCCCTCAGTAATCAGAGAATCATAAAGGAAAACCAGAGACAAATAGGAAAACTCACAACCAAAAAGGTACCTAGAGAGATATGCATGATTCATGATTCATGCAAAAATTTGGAAGCATTATTCCTCAGGGCAGCATAAAATTGAAAACGTTTCGTGCGTACAATAAGAAAACCATTCAAGAATTTATATTGTTATTAATTCCAGAAATAATATGACAAAGAAAGAGAAAGGAGCCTGGAGAAATTGCGATGATATTCTGCTCAAATCCGATCCAAAGTTTCCGAACAAAACAATAACATAACCTCTATCTATCGCTTCTGTACTTGGCTTCGCATCTGTAGTTTCTATCGTGCGTAGCCAATGAGAATTAGGCATTACGTCAAGTGACCCAACTTGGTCACGATTTTAATATTGACCTGCGGTTTTTTATCTGTGACGCACAGGGTGTGCCAAAAATATGAATCCTTCGTATTGATGTCTCGAGAACGATTACAGATTATTGACATGCGGTTTGAACGAAATTTCCTTCAAAAAAGGTGGGCCGCTCTCGAGTGGGGGGGGGGGGGNGGGGGTGTGTGTGTGTGTGTGTGTGTGTGTGTGTGGGAGGGTGTGTGTGTGTGTGGGAGGGTGTGTGTGTGTGTTCAGGGGGTCGTTACCTCTCTACTTCGCGTCCGGGAACAACTTTTAAATTTAAAATGGGAACTCTCTTTGCCTGATACTGCGTAGAAGTCATACCAAAAATACATGATATCCTTCCAAATATGGATATCCTGATATCCTTACAAAAATATGATTTTTGTACAAAATTTCGGCCCAATCCAAAAAATTTCACTAATTACAAAAAAAAAAAAAAATCAGGCACCCAAAAAATATGATGGCAGTACCGTTTGGATTCATCATTTAAAAGGAAATGATATCAAAACGGCCCAATTTCCTCTTTCATGATATACTATTCACCCCAACGTTTTTCACCAAAAGAAAAATAAAAAGACAAAAAAAAAATTCAACACCTATAAGGTATGATGACCTGAACACGTTTTGATCCATCACTTTAAAGGAGTATGATATCAAATCGGCCCAACTTCTCTGAAATATGCCCATCTCTGATCAATTATTTTTTCGAGACCTTCCGACTCATCGCTGAGGAGACACTGATCATTACTTGACCCTTAGTGTATGTCCTTGTTTAAATGTCAAAGAGGTCTATATGAGACATGTAATGAATTTTTCTTCTTTAAAGAGATAAAAAACAAAAAATCGTCATAAAATTGAAAAACAATTCGAAGAAAAAAAGAGGAATGGGCCGGCCGGCACGTACAAAAAAAGGGGGGAAAATAGATACATTGGTGTGCCCCGACATTTTGGCATGGGTGACCGACCCGGTCTTGCCACCATCCATGAAGTTGTTAAGAGAGAAGCATTGTAAGTAGGAGGCACATAATATTCGCAATAATACGCGGTTCAGTAGTTTGTAAGGCCTTCTATCAGGAACAAACAAAGAATATGGCATTGCTTGAAAGTTGTTAAGTTGTTCACTCATGAGTGAATATCTTTCAGTCTATCTTTCAATGACGATTTCGAGAAGGACTGATCCTCCTTTTGACGATGATACTTTTTCATGTATATATGCAAGAGAGACGATACTCACCCTTTTATCTACCACTTGTACGTACGGCCCGGCCGGCCCATTCCTTTTTTTTTTCTTCGAATTGTTTTTCAATTTTATGACGATTTTTTGTTTTTATCTCTTTAAAGAAGAAAAATTCATTACATGTCTCATATAGACCTCTTTGACATTTAAACAAGGACATACACTAAGGGTCAAGTAATGATCAGTGTCTCCTCAGCGATGAGTCGGAAGGTCTCGAAAAAATAATTGATCAGAGATGGGCATATTTCAGAGAAGTTGGGCCGATTTGATATCATACTCCTTTAAAGTGATGGATCAAAACGTGTTCAGGTCATCATACCTTTTAGGTGTTGAATTTTTTTTTTGTTTTTTTATTTTTCTTTTGGTGAAAAACGTTGGGGTGAATAGTATATCATGAAAGAGGAAATTGGGCCGTTTTGATATCATTTCCTTTTAAATGATGAATCCAAACGGTACGGCCATCATATTTTTTGGGTGCCTGAATTTTTTTTTTTGTAATTAGTGAAATTTTTTGGATTGGGCCGAAATTTTGTACAAAAATCATATTTTTGTTTTATAATAAACACAAATATTTCAGTGTGCGAGTTGAAGGTGCTAAAAATATCCACACATTTAGAAAAATAGAAAGGACTCCGTGCAAAACGGGCCATTTGGGGCTCGGGGCCGATACCTTTGAGACTTGCCCTATTCATTCACCTAATAATGCCCCATCTTTTCCCAAAGTTTCAAGCCCCCCCAAAAATTTTGGAGAGATGCGGCGGGGGTCAAAATTAAAAACCGGCAAAATTTTCGCGAATTAATTACTCGAAAACCAAGAAGTTTTGGAAAACGCGTTTTAAACGAGCGTATTCGGCGTGACGAGAGCTTTCAGAAAATGTATAATATCATAGGGTTTTGTCAACTTCAGCTCGAGTTATCGCCTCCGAAGCGCCGAAACGCTCAAAAATGACCCCTTATTTTTCCACGTTTGGGCCGCTTTAAAAAAAGCCATTTTTTTACTTTGATGAAAAACTGATATGTTGTTCCTGACTCTCTGTGGCCCCTCTAGCTCTTTACAGCATGCTGGGGAAATGTTTTGGTCGCGAGCTATACGAGCGGAAAGGAGCGGAGGTCGGGAAAATCGGCTATTTTAAACTGCGCGCGCGGCGTTGATCGGAAGGAAAACGTCCCCTCCCATTCTGATCGGCGAATCACACTCCTTTGCCGACCTCGCATTGATGCTACATGTCTCCTGATCCGTCGCCGCGCGCAGTTTAAAACAGCCGATTTTCCCGACCTTCGCTCTTTTCCGCTCCTATAGCTCGCGACCAAAACATTTCCCCAGCATGCGGTAAAGAGCTAGAGGGGCTACAGAGAATCAGGAACAACATATCAGTTTTTCATAAAAAAATGTCTTTTTTTTAAAGCGGCCCAAACGTGAAAAAATAAGGGGTCTTTTTTTGAGCGTTTCGGCGCTTCGGAGGCGATAACTCGAGCTAAAGTTGACAAAACCCTATGATGTTACACATTTTCTGAAAGCTCTCGTCACGCTAAATACGCTCGTTTAAACGGCGTTTTCCAAAACTTCTTGGTTTTCGAGTAATAAATTCGCGAAAATTTTGCCGGTTTTTAATTTTGACCCCCGCCGCATCTCCCCAAAATTTTTGGGGGGGGCTTGAAACTTTGGGAAAAGATGGGGCATTGTTAGGTGAATGAATAGGGCAAGTCTCAAAGGTATCCGCCCCGAGCCCCAAATAGCCCGTTTTGCACGTAGTCCTTTCATAGACCGCACACCTCATTCCTGAGATCTTCCTCGGTGGTTTGAATTCCTGGAAAAACCAAGAATACCGGAATTTTCTGTACATTACATACCCTGTTAGATGACATCAAAGGTTCTTATTCATCCAAAAATCGATAAATTTATCGAAATAGGGATACTGATGGAGCCTGAGAAATGAACTGATTATGACTAATGTGCAATTTCCAAATGAATACATAACTTTTCAAAGGTATTTTTCTATGTTAAGAAAATTAGACTTTAAAACTGAGGCAAAGAAAAAAAGATGAAATGGCAACGCAATTACAAAAATCAAGACTTACTGATAATGCCATGAGCATTGGTGCTCTTTGGTGTTGAGGTTGTAAACAAATTAGCAAGAACATATATGTACCACAACAAAAATTACCTTCACCATGGAATTCAGTACAGCATTTGGGTAAGAGATGGTAATTTTACTTTTGCCCGGATGTGTGGAATTAATCACATAATTTTCTGGAAAAGATGCAGGTAAAACACACCAAATACCATCTGTATCTAATTCAAGTGGTCGACCAACTTTTTCAATGATTTCTCTAGCTCTTGTGATGATATTAGCTCCAGTGTGACACACTATTCCAGCCATCTCCATACTATGCCATCTGGCGCTGTAAAGTGAAATAAAAGCACACAATAAACTATTAAGACATTATTATTAGAAACTTTGATTAAACTGCTATGATAGAAACTAAAAACAATCATAATGTAATCATACAATGCACGACATTCCAGGAGACTTTTACGCAAAACTAATGCAGGCCAGATTTTATTTCTATCTCCAAATTTAAATGAAAATGAATGAACTGAGGGGCAAATAAAGATAGTTAGCAGGGTCAAATAAATTTAAATATTAAATTCTATCCTACATCTCTCCATAAAAAGTTTTCAGGTAGTCTTTAAGGTTGATTGTTTCTACGTTGTTTTATTTTAGGTAAAATCATAGGTTTGCATGTTTACAATTGTTAACTAGGCAACAAAAGTACTTGGAGCACCAGAAAAAATGTACGATTGTTGCAACTAAATTGACCCACAAAAATCAAAATTTGAAGTTGCGTATTGTCAGCTCTCATTAAAACGTACATAGCCAAGAAAGCCAAGATGGCCTCCTAGGAGATGCTCAGCGGCATAAAACCCTGCAGAAAGACAGATGAAAAGTCATGTTTCCACAATTTTTGCAAGAATGGGCCGAGTTTGTGGAAAGATTTCAATGCAAGCTTAGAGCTTTTCAAGGCGAGTTGTGATTCATCCTGAGGGAGTAAGGATTTTCACTGACAATAAAATCATTAGAAAATTCTACCTCACTGTTGCAAAGATTAAATAACCCACCTAATCACAGTCAGCTACTTTCAAAATGTTGCACCTATAAAAGTTCTACAAAATTTCGCAACTTTTAGGTGCAAAGTATGACCTTTGCTTATGAACTCAATTTATGGAGGTTCTCACACTAAAAGACAACCACCCAATCTGGTTTTTGAAGTCTGAGAGTCACTAAACCATGTTTTATCTTGAAAAAAAAAACTGCAACTGGACTGCCCGAGGCTCATAAGTAAATATTCTCACTTTCCTCCATTTGGTTGAGGTGGTCAAGTGTCATGAAAAATGTTCACTTACCCTTTCCGCATGACGTAACCATAAAAAGAGTTCAGGATGCATTTGTGAGCTATTTGTAAAGAGTCATACAAAACTTCACGATTTTTCGCAGATTTTATCTCTCCAGCATCATTTTTTTCAAGAGCTTCTGCAACCTGTTTTTTAGCTTTCTGAAAATAATGAAAATGATGAAAAGCGTTAAAAAACAACATTAGCCATACAAAATCGCAAAAACTCTACATGACTGATCGATTTATCGATTTGCCAACCTTGAAAATTGATTATCGAAGCAAAAATACACAAGGATCCATATGCCCCAGTCTTGTTGGATGCATTTATATAGTCTCGAAAATGACCAATTTAAATCCTGAATAACCATCAACATGTCGCAAAATCGCTATAAATGTGTACAACAAATCAATAATCCACTCGCCAACTTTAAAAATAAGTGTCTAGATTAAAATACACAAGAGTTAACATGCTTCAGTCATAATGGGTGTATCAAGTAATTTTAAATAAAAAATAACTAATTTCAATTAAAAAAAACAATCAATCTTCCATATAAAATTGCAAAATGTGGATATAACAAATTAACATATTGACACATAAAAACTCAATTCTATGTGCAAAAATATGTAGTATTTGTTATGCTTGATACAAGGAAAAAGCAATTGTTTTTTTTTTTTTTTTTTTTTTTTTTTTTTTTTTTTTTTTTAGTTTTGTGGCTTCTATTCCTTTGTATTATTTTGATAGGAATCTACAGCCATCTATAGACAGAGGAGGTTGAAATAGCAATTAGAATCCCATAGTAACATCAGTGGTAACTTTTTTCCATTGTTTTGTTCTTGTAAGTGAGACGTCATTTTCTATGCCTCATGAGTCTTCATTTTTAAGATTAGCCTTTCGTCTTAAATTTTTTGGGTCATAGGAGTTTGGGGTCTACGATTCTTTGGCTTGCAAGGAACATGGTTTTTTGACTATGTACAAGTCAAAGGAGGAAAATAATTTGGTTGAAAATATATGAACATACTACAGGGTTGTTGCCACAGAATTTAGAAAATAAAATTCTCTGATTTCCCTGACACATTTTGGCGAAATTTCCTGACAATTGAAGATGTGACGGATGGTTAAAAAGGCATAATTGAAAATAGTTTTCAGACAAAATTTGTTGTTCGAAACCTCAAACCCATTCTAGAAAGCGAATGAAGGTGATTGAACAAATTTTCCCTGACATTTCCCGGTTTTCCCTAACTGTGACAACCCTGATATACACTGAAAAAAAAAACAGGAAGGAGAGAATACCTTCCTGCTCTTACCTTTGTAAGAGCTTTGTACTCATATCTTCGATCTCTGAAAGCTCTGACAGTGTCAACATAGAAAGAATTTTCCTTTTGACAAACTGTTGTTGCCCTCTCCTCAATTCTAGTGGTGTGGGTCTTTTTGTAAACTTTCCGTGAGTATTCTTGAAGTCGCTTTTTTTCAACAGTAGCACGCTCTTCTCGAGTTAGTTGGTGAAACGCACGCTGAGGCTCTCCAGGATATTTTGGAGGGAATTTTTCTGTTTCAAGTTGATGCTGAATTCTGACATATTCATTACGACTAGCTGGAACTATGACGGGAAGAAACTAGTGAGAGCATGAAATGGTAATCTCTTAACACAAATACTGTTCATACATACATTTATACTTGTATTATTCATTTGCTATATTCTTGTTTCTTTCATCTCAAAATCATTCTCTCTTGAAAAACACTTGATAAAATTGGTAAAAAAACAATGTCCTTTAACAGTTTTCAAGAATTTGAGCCCAAAATCATTGGCATGAGTTCAAAAAACCTTTATGTACTGCTTTCTTGAAAGTGCTTCCTTTAATGTTTCTTTTACTTTTAACCTCACTAAAAGAACTGGTGTCTTGATAAAAGCAAATCCAGCAGTTCCTTTTCATTACTAATAGGGCAATTTTGAACTAAAGGTACCACCCTTATAGACTTTGAGAAAAGGTAATGTAATTTCCCAGGCAAATGGAACGGTCCAATTTTATGAAATTTGAATAGGATTTGAGCAGAAGCATGTTCTGGAGATTGTGCATGGAAATGGGCCTACCGCAAACTAGAGCTAGAGCTTAACCTTTAGTTGTTTTTCATTGAGAATGGCTCAAAAATGAAGATCGGAAAAGTCTGAAATTCACTCCTAACCTCACAATCTGCGTAAGAAATTTGCTGTTTCTTTTGAGCTTCCAGCTTCAAAATCGATACTACAGCACAGATGAACATTTCATGAGAGGAGTCATTCCATTCAACCCTTGCACACTAGAATGTTTTGCAACATTCAACATGTCCGATGCTTCCGGGCTCAAATCTAGGAAAGCACAAGGTCAATCAGAGCTGATCTTTTTTAATGCGAGGAAAATGTGAAACACGCCAACTGGTAACAGTTGGTTTTTGGCGGATTGGCATCAGCCATGTTGAATATTACAAGACATCCTGATGCGCAGAGGTTGTGTGGAATGACTCCTCCTACAAAATTTTCACCTGTGCCATAGTATCTTTTTTGAAGCAGGAAGCTAAAAAAACCGCAAATTTCTTACACAGATTGTGAGGTTAGGAGTACGCTTCAGACTGCCGATGCGCTAATCGTGATTTTGGAGACATTTTCTACAAGACAGAACTCTTATATTTACTCGAACAAAAGTTTGCAACAGGCCCATTACTTCCTTAAAAATTTCAAAAATGAAAGAGACTATTTTTTACCCCTTTTTTTTCTTTCTTCTTTGGTATGGAAAATATTATCAGAGAAAATCTTGTTGAGTCATACGAATGAGTCCACTTCCCAAAACCCCATATCATTCCAACACATGCTGGGTGTCCAAGTCATCTCGTACCCGTATTTCTACTTGGTTATTTGAGGGCGCACGAAGAAAAAGACCACATGGACGTTTTAACCGCAGTTATAATCTAAACTAATAACAAAGAGCCCAAAATCAGTCCGTCCGTGTTCGAAGTATTAATCCCTGAAGTTGGGGAGCAGAACCTTTCTAAATAAAAAGCTACATCACAAGAGTCCTCACAAAATAAGTTTATCCACTTTTAGACTGCAACAAAAGAGCCGCTATTAAGGTGGAGCGTTTTTTGACATATTTTTCCTTTTGAAAATGGACATAGCACAAAAGTGGCGAAATGGTCTGAAAACAACGCCTGAATTTTCCTGAATTTTTTGTCAACATTTAGGCCTCCCAGATTGACATTGAAGTCAAAATTTGAGGATTTTTGATGATGAAATGGCAACAATGGCAAGTTCGACAAAAATACATGGGACCAAAGTTGTTGGAACTTAGATTTCCATCAAATAACTTTCTTATCATGTTTTCTCTCGGTGCAACCATTTTAGTGTAAAATTCGAAAACCCGTATTTTTCCGGAAATTTGGCACAAATTCTCGTTCAATCAAGGAGAAATACGGGAGAAACGGAGCTAACTCGGAAAAAATTGCGTGGCAGACTTTTCATACAAAAATATCATCATCGGGTTGGCTTGAATAACACAAAACATACAAAATGTTTTCCTTGGCTCCGCCGCGGAATACCCCTTAAAATGCCTTTAATTAAAAAAGGTTGCCGTGTTTAAATTATCAAGCATCAAGGTAATTTAAAATGTGCAGCTCGTGTGGTGTGAGGTGTCATTTTCTATGTCATTTTAGTCGTAAATTTCAAATATAGTGTCAAAAAAAGCCCCAAGTGAATAGTCAAAAAATTTTAAAAATTTAAATTTCTCGCTCAAATTGCGACAAAAATTACTTGCGGATTTTTTGCATTTTTACAGTACCTCTGGACCGCCCTTAAAAAATCAATAATACTTCCGAAACTGTAGACACCCTGCAACAACCACACTAATTAAAATAAAGAAGGGCTATAAACCAAGAAAAATAAATACAACTGACTGATTTCTCCGCGCCACATCCATGTCATTTTCCTTTGGCACTTGGCACCCGGTTTATTGAAGTCACAAGCAGCACATGTTGCATCATCTACCATTGCTGATGGTTGCAGTCTGTTGGTCAGAATGATATTTGGGTACATGGCACCTAGATGAAAACCACAAATATTACAAAGGAGTGTTGAGAGGGGCTGATTTTGGCTTGACTTTAAAAATTATTTGAGCCTGTATTTTAAGTATTCTGTACTTGCAATCTATGACCAATGTTTAATGCTCGTTACGTGGTCTTCAGTCAAAGTTTGATTAAGAAATGGATCAGTAAAGAGTGCAATTTAGTGCATTTCCTTTGGAAACTACACTGAGAAAACATTTTTGTATCAATTTACTTTACCTGGCTCCATAAAAAATTATCAGACAAATCACACAAAAATTGAGAGGGTGAATGAAAAAGAATATGTACAGGGTGTTCAAAAAGTCCCCTCCCCCCCCTCTAACTTTTGACCTAATTGAGGTAGAGCTTTGAAACTTGGAGGGTGTTCCTAGACCAACGGGAGCTACTTTTTGACCCCACCCAAAATTTTGGGGGGCACCCCCTTGGGGGGGTTACGGACCCTAACTTTTTTTTTTCAAATGGGAAGACCCCCTTTGTGATACCTCGTTCGAAAGAACATAAAAAAAGAAATTTTTTCGCGCTAATCCGAAGTCATTATTTCAAACCGTTTGAAAATGGCGGCCGGTCAAAGTTCAGAATGGCCGAAAATTGGCACCTCTGATATTTGCACATGGATTTGCTTGAAACACGGTATCATGGGGTATTTTGGCACGAGAAAAACGAATTTGACGTTAGATTTTTAAAAAAAACCCTAATTTTTCAAAATGGCCGCCGGTTTAGGCTCAAAGTCGCCGAAAATTTGACAAAATCGATTTTTTGCCAATGGATTCACCTGAAATTCGGTATCTGGGGGTATTTTGACCCGTGAAGAACGAATTCGACGCTAGATTTTTAAACAAACCCTAATTTTCAAAATGGCCGCCGATTAAAGTTCGAAATGGTCAACAATTCGCAACCTCGACTTTTTGCCGATGGATCCGCCTGAAACTCGGTGTTTGGGGGTATCTGGGTAGGAGACAAACCCAGATACCCCCAAACACCGAGTTTCAGGCGGATCCATCGGCAAAAAGTCGAGGTTGCGAATTGTTGACCATTTCGAACTTTAATCGGCGGCCATTTTGAAAATTAGGGTTTGTTTAAAAATCTAGCGTCGAATTCGTTCTTCACGGGTCAAAATACCCCCAGATACCGAATTTCAGGTGAATCCATTGGCAAAAAATCGATTTTGTCAAATTTTCGGCCACTTTGAGCCTAAACCGGCGGCCATTTTGAAAAATTAGGGTTTTTTTTAAAAATCTAACGTCAAATTCGTTTTTCTCGTGCCAAAATACCCCATGATACCGTGTTTCAAGCAAATCCATGTGCAAATATCAGAGGTGCCAATTTTCGGCCATTCTGAACTTTGACCGGCCGCCATTTTCAAACGGTTTGAAATAATGACTTCGGATTAACGCGAAAAAATTTCTTTTTTTATGTTCTTTCGAACGAGGTATCACAAAGGGGGTCTTCCCATTTGAAAAAAAAAAGTTAGGGTCCGTAACCCCCCCAAGGGGGGGCCCCCAAAATTTTGGGTGGGGTCAAAAAGTAGCTCCCTTTGATCTAGGAACACCCTCTAAGTTTCAAATCTCTACCTCAATTAGGTCAAAAGTTAGAGGGGGGGAGGGGACTTTTCGAACACCCTGTATACGATATCATTAAATTGTGATGCCGTTTGGAAACAATGCCTATTATATGACCACTCGTTTGGACTTCGACACTCTTTAAAATAGTCTGGTTTAAGTTTTGAGAGAAATCTTTGAATTTTAAAGGTCTTGCAAGGGGGAAAAAATCACCTAACTGGTAAACTGAGAGATGAGAGAAATTGTTGAGTCACACAGGGTTTTGTGATGGATTTAAATTGAAGAAAATTAACTTACCAACATCTAAATGGTAAATAATTGGACACTCTATTCTAATGGGTGTATCTCGTAGAGATCGGAGCTTTGCTTTTATATCTGCAGCAACTTCATCAAAATTTAGAACAGTTTCCACAGGAATTTTTTCCTCCTCTTCAATTGCATGCTTAAGAGCATGCTCTACTGTTCCCATTAGGGCGTCAAAAGCTGCTGGTACCTAAAAATTTTAAACAAAAAAACAGAGTTTCACAGGAAAATGCTTGGTGGAGTTATACAACAGCTTCCTGTGCCACAATATTCCAGGGAAAATTGATTAGCATTGATTACAGTTTTAAAATTAGGAATGACCATTAAGGCCTTATATTACACACAAACAAGAAAAAAAATTATTAAAACTTAGAAGGCAAAAAACTGAGAGAGATTTATAAGGATTTTGACCATCAGTCAAAAAAAGACAACCTCCTTTCCGTCTTGTCAGGGGTCGGGGGTTCCCCTAAAATTGAAGTACCCCCCCCCCCCCCGGGTGTTTCTTATTTTTTAAATTCGAATTCGAAGGAGGTCCTGGTCTTAAGAGTTAATGTGTGGATAGATTAGAAGCCTCTTACAAGGAAAAAAATTTATAACAATTTTTACCCGGTGCTCAAACGACTTAAGTGACACTGGTTGAAATCTGAGATTTTCAGATAAAATAACACTGTTTCCTATGGAAAACGCCGAGTTGTGGTTATGGAGGACGAAAATTTCGTCCGTTTGGTCGTATCTGCAACACAAAAGCCGCAAAACACCCGAAAAAGGCGCGCGCAACGAGGGACACTAGGAGCAAAATGGGCGCGCCATAGCACAACGCGCGCGCGTCCTCTGCACTGCCGAAGCGACATGCCGCACGCACGCTGTAAGCTTACGCTGGCCCGAAAGTTCCCGTCCATTGCAATGTATCATTACGAATTGACCTGGATACACTTTAACACTAAAAAACAGTTGAAATGTATGTATACATCAAAGAGACAAATTTTCTTTGTAAAATATTTGCTATATGTAGGAAAATCAATTTCAACAAATTAAACAATTCAAAGTTGATCAACTAAATCAAATAATCCACAGTTTACTTAAAGGCTTACAGTCTTAAAATGTTTGTCTGACTATTTTTATTATTTTTGTATGGTTTTATTGACTTTGGCTGTGACTTGTTAGAGATCATGAAAATGCAGCTCTTGTTTATATCGGGAGTTGGCAATACAAGTACTCATTTCTTCGTAAAACTTCGCGAGAAATAGGATGGTTTCACTGGTTTTCTCTGAAACAAACCCTAAAACTAAAAAAAAACTCTCAAAGTTAAGGCCGTATTGAAGGAGATATGCCCACTTTTCTAAGAGTCCACCTTTGTATCAAGCCAAATTTTCTATGCTAAGATAAAGAGCAAATTGACGGCGTAAGTTCGCAATCACATATCTCAATTGCGGCGTCTAAATATCTCCGTTTCTATGTTATTTTTTAAAGGAGAACAAACTGACACTATTCCTTGAAGTTTATGCAGAATTTTCTTCTCACAGAGAAGAAAAATTACGGCGGTTTCAAAGAATTTCCGTTGAGTAGTTTTCCACTTAAAAAATAAAGTACCAAGGTATAACAGGAAGTCTGCAACGTCTCAAACCGAGTCATGTGATTGCCGACTCACACGGTCGAAATAAATCAGCAGGATTGCAGTCAAAACTGAAAACACGTTTTTTTAGTTTTGGAAACCCCAAACCAAGTGGCTACCCTGCCCATGTATACTATTTGCTCTTTGCAGGGAGAGTTTGACTTGAACAGAGGTGGACTCTCATGATAGTGTGGGATATCCCCTCCAATATGAAGTCAACTTTTAGAGTTTTTTTCAGTTTTGGAATTTGTCTCGGAGGAAACTGATGAAACCATTGTGTTTCTCGCGGAATTGTGCGTAATAATCAGTACTTAAATCACTAACGCCTAACACATGCAAGATCTCCATTACCTTCCGATGTTAAGTATCCTCCTCTTGTGCGTGGACATCACTTTAATTTTGCGTTCAGCATGATCATTAACAACTTTTATGACTTAACTACATTTTTAACCTCAAGATATTCGGAAGTAAATAGCCATGGGGCTGGGCAAGAGTATAGAAATGAAAATGGCAAATCCATGATATTGAAAAAAAGGCTAGAGTGTTAGTTATGGAGAAGCCTGGAATTACCGGGCATTCTTCAGCGTAGGTGGGTGAATTCAAATAAGGGTCAAATTCCAGGTTCTATTTCCTCCCAAAATTTTTTTCTGAATTTTAGGGCAAACCAAACTTTATTTTGACTATCATTAGGTGTAGACTTAGGAAATATAGCTCGTCGAGCTTAATAGTTGGGCTTAAACCCGAATTTCCACCGTCAAGTGTATCACTTCCCAAAATTTGCCGTAATTTTGCCTGATTTCCTAAATTTTCATCTCAGAGGTGACATATAATACTTTTAATTAAAAATTGAACACAATTGTCATAAAAGCATCGTCGAGCACTAAATTAAAGTATAATTGAAAACATGTAACCCTTTCCTATCTTGCAGAACCAAAAAAATTAAGAAAAAATTCATCCGTCATGAAAGATATCTGGAGCTTATTCTGCTCGTCTTTTAGACAGTTCCGTCTGTTTATCAAAATGCGCACTGTTTTCGTTTCACACAAGAAGAAGCTTTTATTTCTTGGAATATTGCGGTACAAAATAGATCAAAAACACCGAATTTTAAAACTTCGAGTGGACGTGTACCCGCTGAAGTGGTGATAAAGCCAGGAAAAGTTTGAGGACTTGCATTAATATAACAATTACACCGGTCAACTTTTTTTTTTATTTTTTTATTTTTGATTTTCCGAAGATTTGCCAATGGTTTCAGAGTAGATTTTTGGCGCTGATTCTGAAGACCACCTCCATTTACCTGTATCGATGCGAATTATCCTGGGAAAGTTCGGAATTTTTCCGGAGAAATCGGAATTTTCCTTGAAAATCTTGCTTTTCCAGAAGAGTCAATTTTCCGGGAGAATCTGTGCACGATGGAAAAAACACAGGAATTTTTCAATTTCGTAGCCTAAAATACATAAGAAACCCTATTGCACCCCTATTTAAATTTCCTTTCTTTTCCTTATACCATGTTTTCCGGTCCAGTTTTATTAAAATCAATTAATTAGTCACCGAGATAGTGTTTTAAGCCACGGCCACCATCTTAGATTTTCGAATCTCGGAACTTTGACTAAAATTCGAGTTCCCCACTCAAAAATACCCGCGGCGCATGAGTACCAAGTTTCGCGTGAATCGATTGATTAGGCTCTGAGATAGCATTTTAGACCATGTCCGCCATCTTGGATTTTCGAATTTTAAAAATTTGACTAAAAATTTAAGTTCCCCATTGAAAAGTACCCCCGGGTACCAAGTTTCGCTTTAATCGACTGATTAGGTGCTGAGATAGCATTTTAGGCCACGTCCGCCATCTTGGATTTTCGAATTTTGAAAATTCGACTAAAAATTCGAGTTCCCCATTGAAAAATACTCCCGGGTACCAAGTTTCACTTAAATCGGTAGAAAAGAGCGCCTACAGGGCTTAAACAAGCAAGTCTCAGTTGTAACAGTTTTCCACTCTGTCCCACTAAACTGGGACATCGGACAGGATGGAAACATATGGGACAGGATGGAACGGGACAAGATGGAACGGGACAGGATGGAACGGGACAGGATGGAATAAGCTGTTTTTTAAGCTTATCTCTAACAGTAAAGACAATTTTGGGGATTTTTTTCACGGAATATTTAGTGGCACGTTCTAGAGGATCGGAATAAGAGAAAATTTTCCCTAACGCACACTTCGAAAGTATTTTACGAGCTGATATTAGTTTGTGTGTGTATGCTTGACGCCTTGTTAGTTATCGTGTATAGCATTCTGTTTGGCATCATTAATGGCGTTAATCTTGCACAAAAATTTGCGAATTTCAGAATTTTTGCCATCTACGACGTGTGAACTATTCAATCAAAACAAAAAAAAGTCGTTTTTGGAAAAACCTCAACGTTACGGCAATCATTTAGAGCTTATTACATCCTTGCCATGTCTCTCCTGACAGTTGCTGACTGTTGCTCGGGACAATGATTCTAACGCGTGAAAAAGTTATTGATGGAGCAAAAAATAAATTGACATATTTTTTTTCTCAAATTCAAAAGCATTACCTATCATCTCCGATAAAGTTTTCTTAAATAATCACTCTAGTTATGCTGCAACATCGATTTAAAGTCAAGAACCAGGCACGGGGGACACGCAAATTTGGGACAAATGTAGGCAATTTGCACATTCAAAGTTCTCCTAAATTTTTATTTCAGTCCAAATAAAGTGGGAAATAGCATGTAATAGTCAACAATAGTGTGGAAAATGAGAAAAAAATTTGATCTGCCCATGTTTCTCAGATTATGACGATTAAAACAGCTCGGGACACCAAATTAGACGCTTATTTGGACTCACCCACGTACACATTGAGGAGGACATATGTCATATTGGGGCCTCGAAAAATGACCCAGAGGTCATCGCAGACCTCAAGAGGTTTCGCAGCTTTAACAAGAGTACCTACAGCAGCTAGTGTTGCGCTCCGTAATTTATCCAGCCACATATGGTACCTCTGTAGTAAAAGTTTGGTTCCCTTGGCATTATTTGATGAGAGATTTACATCGAACACTAAGAGAGTCTTCGTTCACAACATGAGACACAATGTAGGGTTGCCGAATCCGCCTGTTCGCCAGAACGCACAATTTAACTAATGTTTGGGGTCACTTAAAGACAATTATTTTCATGATCTCTTACAAGTCACAGCCAAAGTCAATAAAACCATACAGAAATAATAAAAATAGTCAGACAAACATTTTAAGACTGTAAGCCTTTAAGTAAACTGTGGATTATTTGATTTAGTTAATCAGACTTTGAATTGTTTAATTTGTTGAAATTGATTTTCCTACATATAGCAAATATTTTATTATGAAAATTTGTCTCTTTGATGAATATATACATTTCAACTGTTTTTTAGTGTTAAAGTGTATCCAGGTCAATTCGTAATGATACATTGCAATGGACGGGAACTTTCGGGCCCGCGTAAGCGTGCGACATGTCGCTTAGGCAGTGCAGAGGACGCGCGCGCGTTGTGCTATGGCGCGCCCATTTTGCTCCTAGTGTCTCTTGTTGCGCGCGCCTTTTTCGGGTGTTTTGCGGCTTTTGTGTTGCAGATACGACCAAACGGACGAAATTTTCGTCCTCCATGACCACAACTCGGCGTTTTCCATAGGATAACAGTGTTATTTTATCGAAAAATCTCAAATTTCAACCTATGTCACTTAAGTCGTTTGAGCACCGGGTAAAAATTGTTTTAAATTTTTTTCCTTGTAAGAGGCTTCTAATCTATCCACACAACTTTTAAGACCAGAACCTCCTTCGAAGTCAAAAATTTAAAAATAAGAAACAACCCCCCCCCCTTCAGGATAAGCTGCCGAAGAAAAACTTTTTTGGATCATTGATGCATTATGGGAAAAGACCCCCCCTCGCCACGGGCCTTTTTGGGTTTCAGCAGTTAAAAATATTTGAGAATATACTACCACCATGTCTGAGCATTTTTCTTCCTCTTTATAGACTGCTTTCTCTAAAATTGACCTATCTTTCGTCGAACCATATAATCCATCTATTCACCCCTTGTCTAACCTATTTGGTTATTTTGCATCTAAATGAAAAGGTTAGGAATTTTTCTCTTTCCTTTGAGAGACCTCCTTTGCAATTTTTGCTGCTAAAGTCAAACATAACCTTACAAAAGTAAGGCTACATTCAATCACTAATCGCCAATTGCCGTTCGCTTCAATCACCTCCCAGTTTTTTGTAAGTCAATTTATCCAGAAGAGACAGTTTTCCAGGCTGAAAGCAAGCCCTCTTTTGAGACATTCAGCTTTTTAAAAAATTCTGTTGGATGATGTAGCATTCATAAATTTTATTCATAACTTCAATCTTCTTTTTTTTCATTCTATTTCCATACTCTTATTGTGAATCATTAGTCCACAGGCAGACAAGATTTCCAAGTGCAAATATATTCACTGTGTGCTTTCTTGTCTGTTATAGGTAAACTTTTGGTTTAGTTCCTCAGAAAGAAAGATGGCCATCCCAGATTTCATGCAAACTCTCTCAAATTCAATACAGCAGTCAACATAGCGGTTTTCAGTTTAACTCTTTGCTGTTTCCAAATACGTGTGTCAGGAGTCAATTCCTATGTATTTTTGGTCATACAATCCGAACTTTCTGACAAATATAATCCAAAAAATCATGGTACGGCCAAAATTGAAGACAGGGACCGAGAATCCACTGAAAAATCCACTGAGGGGCAAACATTCTTTTATACACCTTTGAATGCACAGTGAGGTGTCAATCATTAGGTTTTGGGGTCAGAGAATCCGAGAATAAATTCCATTTTCTGCTTTGATTTCCTGTTACCATATATACCTTTTTCCTTGGATAGTCATAGAGAGAGGATATTTATGTTGGCTTTTGAAAGAGGTACCAACCATATTTTGATTATAATTATTGGTTTCTTGAGGTCTTACCATTTTGAAACGACACGGTACATCTGCACGAAAAACTCCGGATTCTAATGCTTCAACATGTCCACCAACATAAGTTTCTTGCTCTAGGACATGCCCATCTTCAGTCATTTTGTTGAATGATGTCTCTTGCTTATTTGGAAAGACTATATTTGCATGAAATGCTTCAACCATCAACAGTGTTTCACACAATGTCCCTGAACCTTTTCTGAGGACCTGGTAAAATTAAGAAGAAAACAAAATATAATAGAGCCTTTATGCACTGAGAATCAACGAAACTTAAAAACCGGGTTCTTCAAACCAACTGATAATAATTTTTTTTGGGGACGGGGGGGGGGGGGGGGGGGAGGGGCTATCAACGCTAATTTTGAAAACTTTTTTTCCCAGCATAAAATATCATGGATTTTATTAGACTTATACAATCAAAATTGACCCTAAGGAATCCCATCTCACCTATAATAGTTACCCGACCTCTGTCGTCAATTTCTTTCGCTCACGATAACTATTGTTAAATTTGCGTTAGCTGATTCAAATTTCGTAATTTTGTCCATTTTGGTCTTATAAAGAACGGTATAGATTTTTAGTTAAATCAAATTTACCGTTTACTTGTAAACGGTAATTAACGTAAGTGCCCTACTTACGCTGTTTTACACTAGACTGTTTTTTATGGAAGTTCCATTCGTTGGTTTCCTTGGTAACCTTTGTTTGCTATCAGCTGATGTCTTATTTCAATTTTAGTTTCTAGAGCCGGTATCAGACAATAAAAGTAGAGCTCTCCAAGTGTCTTAAATTCTTTAATTTTTCAGCCAGTTCTGCATGAAATTCCTTGCAAATTTCAAGATGTGATGTGTACCGAACACATTGGGACACAAAGGGAGGATTTCCATTTTTGTTTATCGATCTTCAGTACATCGTTCTGTATAAAACAGGATAGAAAGGGATACAACAAGATATATTGATATCAGCCAGGATAAAAGGGTGGATATTTATCTATTATAGGAGGGATGTTAATGGATCTTCGATACATCGTTCGATATACAGCCAAATAGACAGGGATAAATCAGGATTTACTGATATGAACCAAGATAAGAGGTAGGAATTTCAAGAAATTGGGGATAATAAGTGTAAAACAGGATAGATAAGGATGAAACAGGATAGATAGGGATAAAATAGGGTATTGATTATCGATCTTTGATACATCGTTCGATATACAGCAGGATAGACAGGGATAAAACAGAATAAGTATTAATATTAATCAGGACAAAAGGTAGGAATTTTAAGAAAAGGGGAATAATCGGTGTGAAACAGGATAGATATGGATTAAACATTAAACAGGATAGATAGGGGTAGCACTGCATATTTCACACCCTCCGATATCTTTTATTATTGATCTTCGATGTATAGTTTGCTATTAAACAGGATACACATGGATAAAACGCGATGCATTGACATGAAGTGGGATAAAAGGGAGGATGTAATTATTGGTTTATGGATCTTCGATATATTGTTCGATATAAAGCAGGATAGACAGGGATGAATCGGGATTTAATGATGTTCACCGGGATAAAAGGTAGGAATTTCAAGGAAAGGGGAATATAAAACGTGAAACGGGATAGATAAGGATTGTACAGGATAGATAGGGATAAAATAGGGTATTGTTTATCTATCTTCGATACATCATTCGATATAAAGCAAGATATACAGGGATAAAACGGGATTTATCGATGTTCACCGGGATAAAAGGTAGGAATTTTAAGAAAAGGGGAATAATCAGTGTGAAACGGGATAAATAAGAATTAAACAGGATAGATAGGGATGAAACAGGGTAATGTTAACCGATCTTCGATGTATCGTTTGATATAAAATATAGACAGGGATAAAACGGGATGCATTGATATTAATTGGGTTGAATGGAGGAAGTTTGAGAAGAGGGGAATAATCAGTGAGTAACTGTAAAGATGAGGATGAAACAGGATAGGCAGGGTTATCCCACCCTTCGATATATCGATCTTTGATATATTGTTCGAAATAAAACAGGATGGAAAAGCGGCATATTTAATTTGAAACGGGATAGATAGAATGAAACAGGATAGATATGGGTAAAATAGGATATAGATAAGGATAAAACAGGATGTATTGATATTAACTGGGATAAAAGGGATGTTTGTCGTGTTTGAAGTATTTGATGTGTTTGTTGTGTTTAATGCATTTGTTGTGTTTAATGCGTTCGTTGTGTTTGATGGATTTGTTGTGCTTGATTAGTTAGTTGTGCTTGATGTGTTTGTCGTGTTTGATGTGTTTGTTGTGTTTGATAAGTTTGTTGTATTTGATAAGTTTGTTGTGTTCGTTGCGTTTCCACTCAACCCACCTATATTCTATCTTCAACTTTACAGGGTGTTCCAAGAGTCCCTTCCACCCCCTCTAAAATTTCACCTAATTCATATTTTGAAACGAAACTTTGGGAATGTTCAAAGATTAATGTTAACTTCTTTTAGGGCCCCCCCCCCCTCGGAGGGGCTACGTACCCCAACTTTTTTTTAAACGGCAATACCCCTTTTATGACACATCAATTGAAAGAAAATAAAAAAAGAAAATTTTTGGCACAAACCGCGAGTCAAACTCTTGATCTTTAACGAACTAGCTGCCAGTCAAAGTTCAAGATAAAGGAAATTTACAAATACGTCATTATCGATGGATTGGGGTGAATTTGTTTTTCAGGGGTTTTTTAGAACGAGAAAAACGATTCTGGCTTTATTTTTCCGGAACATTTTTGTCTTTTTCAAAATGGCGGCGGTCAAAATAGCGATCTTGAGCGGCAAGAGAATATTTAGGCTGCTTATCGGTGGATTTGCATGAAACTTGGTATCCGGGGGTATTTCGGCATGAGAGTACGAATTTGTCATTGGATGTTTGAAATTCTAAATAGCTTCAAAATGTCGGGGAAAATGGTGGAAACTTGGTACTATGGATGTTTGCAGATGGATTTGCATGCTACCATTTTGAAAGTATTTGACATTTCAGAAATGCAATGCAAAAGAGCCATTTTTTGTCGAACCAAAAGCCAACAGGACCCAGAGTTTCATTCGCATCCAACCATAAACGTCCGAAATACCAAATTTCGGTCATTTTCCAGATGCAAAAGGATTGATAGGGATGAAACTGCATTTATCCCGTTTAATCTAAGTTCATCCTAATTCAGTAACATTCATCCTTGCAGTAACAATGAATTTGATTTTAAATTGATTGGATTCCAAATAAATTAAATGTGTGGAGTTTTATAAATTAAGATTAAAATAAAAAAAAATCTAATCACACATTAGTTGGTTATAAGTTATGTTACATTTTTTTGTTTACTGAATCAAGACCCCTTCACGCTCTTCACCTCTCACCATAAATTGTGCTGAATACTTATCAAGTGGATTGCCGATCTCTCCAATTAAAAAAAAAAAAAGGTGTTCAATACTCCTCCTCCTCCCTCCCTCCCTCGCATGTTTCTAGCTGTTTTTCAGTTTATTTTTCCAGGGCATGCCGGGATGTCTGTCTTCCCTGCCACCATGCTTCTCTGCGGAAACAATACATTTTTAAACATTAGAAATTCTATTTTTCCGCATTTTAAGTATCATTGCTACCATTTTCACTCATGTGTTACCTTAATTCTCTCCCCCCCTCCTACTCATTCCTACTTTTCACCTTTTCACAAGAGGATTTAACTTGATCCATCTTGATAATGTCGTAATGAGGCCGATGAAATTAGATATTTCTGAATAAATCGTGATAAATCATTATAACACTGGCATAGTCATGGTACTTTAATATTTCCGGTGTTGTTCTTGCCCTCCTTCCATGATTGTGTCCGGTTCTAATGTAATCCTTTCCCCCTCCCCACAAAAAATTTCAAAAAAGTGTTGGTTCATTTTGAATTTTAGTTGTATTTTTTTACTAAAATCTTTGCTTGTGACATTGAGTATTTTAACAACGCAACTATTTAGGATTTATTTATTAATTATGGGGGGAGGGGGGTGGTGGATCCGGATGAAATGGGATGCAACTCGGAACATACGGATCAAATTGTATAGATGCATAACAACTGGGATGAAATAGTATAAACTGAAGAACGCAGGAGAAATGGTGTTAAGAGGGGGGAAAATAAGCAAGGGAATATAAAAGGGAATAGTGGTATCATCGTAAAATTTCTCTGTAACTCGGAACGCATTTAAAAAATAGCATTTTACCGAACAGGAAAAGATTACATTAACGCCATTTCAGTTCGCCTTAAATTTTAAGGTAAGCAACACGAGTTTTCATGTGGTTGAATAGCGGTATTGTCGTCGTGAAATGACAGTTTGCCTTAAATTATTAGTGTTCTTAACACAAGCTCCCACGAGTCGAAGAGTGGTGTCATCGCCCGTGCAATAGACAGTCTCTGTCAGCAAATTTGTTTCTATATCATGTCGGGCCAGCGTTTGTCAGTGAAGTAGTTGCTCCTCTTACTGTTTTCCATTAAGCTGTCTTTATTCGACGAGCATATGTTACGCAGCAGGACCTATATTTTATCAACATCAGTTCCACCAAAAAAATTTAGTTTTGCTGAAAAGAGCCTGCAGCACTAGTTCTGCTTGGGTAAAACTAGACTTGCCTTGACAAAACTATCGGCAAATCGAAAAACTTGTTTCAACTGCTACAACTTAGCAAAACTGATAAAGAGCTGACAGAATTGTTTTCAAATGCTGCGTTTTTACAGGCCTGAGATGGAGTTTGAAACTGCTTAGTACACAAAATATTTTTGCAAGAAGAGGGGAGTCTGAAATTCTGAATCCCAAACTTAGTTCGGGAATACTGATTAGCTGCTTAGTCGAAGATGTTGCGCAAGATGAATTGAATGGTATATCATTTGAAGTTTAATGTTTGAGATAGGTGGCAGAAAATCTTGATATGTATATTTTGATTAAAGTCCATCATCAAAGTCGAGGAATTATTTAATAGAACTGTAGATTAATTTTTGGATTAATTGAATTTACGGTTGCATGTTTCTTTCGATTAACTTTAGGTATATTCCTTTTAGGAGCAAAATAATATCTTGCAAATAATACACCATCACTCGCTCATCTAAGTTCTATTCATTATTCTAATATTACTGATTTCATTTCCCTTTCCCAAGTCGTTTCCTTCCTAATTTATTTCACAGACTGATTTTGACTACTGTGCAAAGATTTAAAATTAAAATAGTCAAAACAGTCTTGCCAGATAAACTCCGGCAAAAAAGATCTTTTCATTACCTAGTTATACCTGATTTCAAGAGGCAAAGCTAATCATGATGCAGTAAAACTAGTCTTAACAAGGCATTAGTGGAGTAATAGCCTAGTATGTATTTTTCCTGGGTACCACTATTTTTCTCAAAAAATGGATCTTGCTACTAACACACATCTTTGAAACTTTACATGGCTTCTGCCTTGCAAAGAGAGGCTACTTTTTCAATAAAAATCTAGATAAAAATCAGGGCTCACCTCATCAGGTTCCATTGGAATGATTGTGCAGAGTGCAAAGATAAAAGTATGTATGTACTTCATGTACAAGTAGTACGTAGCCACAGCATCAGAGACTGAATAATTCGACAAAACTTGGGGCTCATCTGCAGCCAAGCGACACATTTCTTCAGGGTCAAGCTCAACAGGATCATAACGGAGTTTGGCCTTGGCCACTGCCTTTAAATTCTGAGATCCAACAGGTAAATAAGAATCACGCTTCACCCAACTGAAAGACAGAACTTCGGATTTAAGTTAGGAGCTTTGAAAAGATCAGTGAAAAGAGGTATTGACTCACTAGTTCCTGTAACGTTTTAAGCCTTGTAAGTTCCATGTCTTTGATGTTTATATAGATGAATAATAGTCTAAAAATGTATTCTGTGATATGGAGTCCTCTGCCGCTCACACCTCTTCTTCTGTATTCCTTTCTTCTGCATTCAGTACTGTCTCATTTGTTTCATTTAGAGATTTCTACATACCATTTTCTTAACTAAAGCGCACTGCACCTTCTACAATAGGATATCCACCAGGGCCCCTTACGGATACCCTTCCGTTGTTCTAAAAGAATTTGAATGAATATTGCATTCAATTAGGGAGAAATTCACCTCATGAGCACATCATGATAAAAATATAGTGGAATATTTTGAACTAAGTAGGAATTTAATTGGGAAGATTTCATAAAAGAAAAATAATATTCTAGCTATTCAGCGGAACAATTCGATGAATGTGATTGTAATTCAGGAATATGACATTGATAAAACAATTGCTCATTCAAAAACTGGACAGATATATATGAGGACTTATATGCAACATGAGGCTCAATTTTGGATTGATTGCTGGAGAGCACCCCTCTCATAATGCGTTTGTGACCTACGGCCCCATTTGTTAACATGTCGAACCTTAAGAGACACCAAGAAATATGAATTTGAGGGTCCCGTTGTCCAGAGAGTCTTCTTTGATGTCGCTCAGGGGGAACCACNCCCCCCCCACTGGTCAAATTAACAAATTCAGGGTCCCCCTGAGCGACACCAGAGAAGACTCTCTGGACAACGGGACCCTCAATCACGGATTCTTTGGGGTCTATTACCCATGAAAACTTCTTTTTTCCAAGTCTCTATGTCATTTTTGCGAACTTGCATGTTTTAAAAGGGCGCTCTGTCCCCCACCTTTAAGAGTCAGTATTTCGGATTTTTCTGATTCCAATTAAATTATTTCAAAATTTTGACATAAATCTTGACTTATGAAGTACGGACCCCTCTTTTTATCCCCCCCCCCCCACAAGGGTTGCCAATGGGACTCTCGGACCAAGAAATTCAAATTTCTTAGGGTTGATTCCCCATTCGATCCTGCAGTCCTCAACTACGTACGACCTAAATTAACCGAAAAAAAGCCCTGGCACTGTAGGTTTGGGCCACCCTATCTGCGTTGTTCTCTAGTTAAGAAATTATGAGAAGTTCAGTGTCTTGGGTAGATCATTTTTTTTTCTTTCTTTCTTTTGGTGGTAGGTAATATACAGGGTGTTTCAGACCACCCGTACCAGGCCTTTATCTCGGTTGGTTTAGGTCGCACGAAATCGGAGACCGCGAGGTTGAATAGGGAATTGACCCCAAAGAATCCGAATTTTGTGGTCCCGAAACTCCCCCACCCCCCTTGGGGGGTAAAGGGGGGGTCACGATGCTAAAAGTCACGGTTCCCGACCGAATTGCGGATAGATCACATCAGAATTGAAAAGCACGGAAAATTTCACGGGGAATTGACCCCTAAAAATCCAAAATCGGACCATCCAAGGCCCAAAAATGATCCCCTAAAGAGGGGGACAGTACCCCCCTCCATAATTTCTCTTTGGTCTCAAAATTGACGTAAATTCTCCAGAAAAATACGGTTTCCCAGGTAATCGACCTCGAGAAATCTAAATTTCATGGTCCCGAAGCTCCTCTAGCCCCCCTTGGGGGATAAACGGGGGGGCCCAATTTTAAAAATCGGGGCTCCTATCCGAATCGCAAATTGATTGCATCCAAATTGAGGAGCAGAACACATTTACATCTTAAGTGACTCCTCAGAGTTCTAATAGACCCCCTGAACGGCAGAAAGTAACCCCCTGAGGAAGGGGGCCTCGCCCCCGCCAAAAATTTCTCAGGATTCCTCTTTGGTCGCAAAATGGGCCTGTTGCAAACTTTTGCTAGAGCAAAAATAAGAGTTGTTTCTTATAGATAATGCCTCAAAAATTACGATGAGCGCATCGGCAAAGTCTGAAATGCACTTATAACTTCACAATCTGCGTAAGAAATTTGCGGTTTTTTGAGCTTCCCGCTTCAAAAACGATACTACGGCACAGGTGAACATTTTGTTAGAGGAGTCGCTCCATCGTCGGAAATATTCATCATGGCCGACGCTTGCGCAGTTCTGCGCGTAATTCGAGGAGAGTTCAAGGTCAATCAAGGCGAGCGAGAAAAATATGAACGTAAACACGCCGATTGTTACTTGGTCTAATCCTGTTCAGGTGTTATCTCGTACCATCACACGTGTTTTGGCGGATTGGTGTCGGCCATGATGAGTATTGCAGACGATAGAACGACTCCTCTAACAAAATGTTCACCTGTGCCGTAGTATCGTTTTTGAAGCGGGAAGCTCAAAAAACCGCAAATTTCTTGCGCAGATTGTGAAGTTATGAGTGCATTTCAGACTTTGCCGATGCGCTCATCGTGATTTTTGAGGCATTATCTATAAGAAACAACTCTTAGTTTTGCTCTAGCAAAAGTTTGCAACAGGCCCATTGACTTCGATTCTCCAGAAAAAGACCGTTCCCCATGTAATCGACCCTGAGGACCCTAAATTTCATGTTCCCTGAGCTTCTCCGGGTCGATTACATGGGAGACCGTCTTTTTCTGGAGAATCGACGTCAATTTTGCGACCAAAGAGGAATCTTGAGAAATTTTTGGCGGGGGCGAAGCCTCCCTCCTCAGGGGGTTACTTTCTGCCGTTCAGGGGGTCTATTAGAACTCTGAGGAGTCACTTAAGATGTAAATGTGTTCTGCTCCTCAATTTGGATGCAATCAATTTGCGATTCGGAAAGGAGCCCCGATTTTTAAAATTGGGCCCCCCGTTTACCCCCCAAGGGGGGCTAGAGGAGCTTCGGGACCATGAAATTTGGATTTCTCGAGGTCGATTACCTGGGAAACCGTCTTTTTCTGGAGAATTTACGTCAATTTTGAGACCAAAGAGAAATTATGGAGGGGGGTACTGTCCCCCACTTTAGGGGATCATTTTTGGGCCTTGAATGGTCCGATTTTGGATTTTTAGGGGTCAATTCCACGTGAAAATTTCCGTGCTTTTCAATTCTGATGCGATCTATCCGCAATTCGGTCGGGAACCGTGACTTTTAGCATCGTGACCTCCCCTTTACCCCCCAAGGGAGGGGGGGGGGGGGGGTTTCTGGACCACAAAATTCGGATTCCTTGGGGTCAATTCCCTATTCAACCTCGCGGTCTCCGATTTCGTGCGACCTAAACCAACCGAGAAAAAGGCCTGGTACGGGTGGTCTGAAACACCCTGTATATTTAGGCCTAGCTCAAGAATACGTGCCTCAACTTTTTACAATATGTTTCAATTTAATGCTCTTTTCTTTTAGAATACCACTTATTTTTCATTGCGAGCAAGGCGCAAGTCACATTCAGTGTCAGTATGACTTCTAAATAATTTTGAGTCTTCTTAAATATAGAAACTGCATTTCTTATAAGAAGATATAGCTCAAGATCCTCTCTATAATATAGTGAAAATATTTCAATCAAATTGGAGAAAGTTTAACGAGTCCTATTTAAAGTCCTTTTGAGATAAGGTGTATTCACTTTAAATAATGAAATATGGCAGAAATGTTGGCCATTTCTTTCTCATTAGATGTAAAGATAACCTCTAACTATGCATGTGAGTGTATGTCTCGTGATAAGCATAGAAAAAATGGTGAAGGAGGCGACCTCTGCTTCGTTAAAGTCTCTCCTCATTGGTTACACCCGTAACACATTTTTACCGAATAATTGTAGCAATAAAAATTTTGAAGTTACACTCCACTTAAAGATGTAGGGAAAAAATTGTCATTTCAAAATGACATGAATTAAAATAGTTACATTGAAAACACCCTGTATTGTGTTACGGGTGTGACCGGCAGTACACTAACTTTCAAAAGTTACATATAATAAACAGTAATTACTTTTATAAGTTGAAACTTTGCAGGAGCACATGTTATCTGTTTCTTGACAAATGTAAACATAAACTCAAACTTGGATTTGGTGGTGACATAAACAAAACTGAGGTAAACCCCATATATTTCTGAAAACAAGTATTCAGGAGTCCAAAAATAAATATTATTGGGTCATTTGAAGGGGGAAAAGTTACCCCCTGGACTATCTTGGCATGGATGACCCTAAGACCCAGAATTGAGGACCATGCCGGAAGGAGGGCGTGTTGTAAATGTAAACGCTGTAAATGTACAAGGTTCAGCTTCGTTAGAAAAACGCATTTGAAGATTTGAAATGGTGTCCTGAAAAATTAAATGCAGCAGTTGGTTAAACCAAAGGCCATTCTCTTAAACTAGATCCTTCAGCTTTGAAATCCATTAAAAGTTTGAAAAAAATCAATTATTTGCCCTCTGTAATCATTGGACAAAGTAAGCCAGAGATACGCCCTTCTTTGGAAATCCTTGTATGTACGATAAAAAAAAGAGGATCGTTTTTCTTTGATAACTCATAAAATAATGAAAAAGAAGAAAATCGGGGACATGACTTCCTGCAAATACATTTCAGCATTCTAACGAGTCAAAGTTTTTTAAGAGCGGGTCACTTGTTGCAAAGAAACCCAGCTTTTTTCAGGTGCACTTGTGATTGCTTAAGACACTAAATTCACTATCAAGTTGATTTTCTTCATTTGTATCTCGTGACGAAATAAATTTAAAGCAAATCAAAGATCATGGTTTCTGCAGAATTTCTTCAGCTTTCTATCGAGCTAAAGTTGTTTAAAATCGGAGGGTTATTAGCGGAAGAAACTGAATTTGTCCGGTTGCACGTTTATAAGAAAAGTGCATTGTTTTTGTTTGAAAACTGATATAACTCGCTGTTGCACCTTATTGAGTCTGGGAGGTCTCTAAAGGTGGTCAAACATTCAATTGGTTACGAATTGCACACATTAAATTCTGTTTGTCTAGTTTCAATTACTCCTCCCCCCCCCCCCCCCCCGGTATGGGATATGCTGTGTTGCCAATCGTCCATAAATGAACAGTAATCGTAGGGCGGTTTCTTTTTAAAATTGCTTTTTCTTAGATTGTCTTTTTAAACTGTGGAATTTCTGTTACCTTAGAACCGAGTGTTGCTTAATGATTTGATACATTGTCCATAAAAATGAACTTTTGAAAGGCCAAGCCTTCATCACCCAAAGATCCAATTTTATGAGGATGGAAAATGCGTCGATTTAATCATTCAAAAAAAAAAAATGCCCATGTAGAGAACTTTTCTTTTCATTTTTCAAGAGTATCTGATGGAAATTCTGTTAACTCTTGTCTGTTAAGCTTTATTGATCTTAAAATGGTGCCAAATTTAATTAACTCTAAGATAAGGTACACCACCTGACCGCTTCGCAATCCAACCCCCAAGTGCTTTTTCCAGTCAGTCATTTTCCATAAAAAAAAAACCCTTGTTGAATATTCTGTAGTTGTTCATACGACAGATTTCAACTTCTATTGATTAAAAGACTTAAGACTTGTCCGATGTTGCAAAATTTCTCCAATATTTTTCGTAATATTCTGGAGAAGGATGCGTGTGTTATCTTTTCTCCCGCGCCTGCGGGTAAGGTGGCTGATAGAGGAATTTCCACGCAGCGCCGCGCCATAGCAGCCATTTGGGAGATTTTATGATCGCAGACATGTATCCCACATCAAACATACATGGAGTCACGAGAATTTGTTTATAAACTTATAACACCGGAGCTAAAAGCTTCGGACTGCAATTTCAACATTACAAATGTAATATGCAATACATCATAACTCTCACATTTCACGTTCTGTGATTTACAGTAAATAAAAATGAATAATCATTCTATTCGGCTAAAACTATTCCTTTTTATGAGAAGAAAATGGAAGTGACACTTCTTTCACCAGAGAACAGGTAAAAATCCATATCACGGAAGCCAAAATGTGTAAATATGGAGAGAAAGTTCGTTGGCCGGAAGAAGGGCGTATATTCGGTGTATTTCACGAGTCAATTATTCACATAACGAATCGACAGATTTTTCTCAAACTTGGAGGATATTCTCACAGTTCGACGTAGAATCAGAAAAGCCGAAAGTTGAAAAAAGGGCGCATCTTGAGATACGCCCTTCTTTCGGCATGGTCCTCAATTAAGGGTGGTTGGTTTAGAGTCAGGAGCAACGTATTAGTTTTCCAAAAATGATTAAAAAGGGGATAATTTGGGAATATGCCCAGACAAGAAAAAAATAGGGTCTTTCCATTATGATCTGACGCTTCAGAGGCAATAACTCGAGCTTAAGTTGACAAAACCCTAGGCTCTTAAACATTCTCTGAAAGCTCTCATCACGCTAATAAAAACCGCGTGCAAAACTTTTTAAGTTTTCCAGTAAAAAATTTTCTGATTTCCAATTTAGACCCACCGCCGCCGCGTCTCCTAAAAATATTCAGGGTATCTTGAGACTTTGGGAAAGATGGGGCATTGTTAGGTGAATGAATAGGACAAATCTCAGATGTAACCGCCGAGAGCGAGAAATGACCAATTTTGCACAGGGCCCTAATATAAACTTTGGAAGCGATTACCTAAGTCTTTTAGATCTATACCAAAAAAATACCTCAAGGCAATACCGATGACAGGATCTTAACCTAAAGTATAATTATAATTTTATCTCATTAATCATCTCATGTATATTACTCTCTTTTTAACTTTGATATCATTTCTCTTTCTGTTTTTTGCTCTTTCTTTCTATTAGATTGTACCACTTAGGCCTTTGTGCCAGTATCTGTTAATATTGGTTTCAACTTGTATGCTCTTTAATAAAATATGATGTCCCAAAAAAAAAAAAAAAAAAAAAGTCTTTTAGATCAACAATTTTTGAAGATAGATTTTTTTTCAATCATCCTAGTACAGAGTTCTGTGAACGCTTTAAAATAACCCAAAACTAACGATGTAAATCTGTCCACTTCCTTACAAAAGTAATTACTAAAAATTGAGAGATTAACCGCATGTAAAAGTCCAAAAATTGCTCAAAGATAGTACTCACCAAAGGCAGTCCATATGGATGGCAGTTCTGCATGAATAAATCCCTTCGTTGTTCTTAGAAAACCCAATTTCCTGCTTCATATTCAGGTTGTAAAACCCAGCTCGAGTTTCAACAAATGGCCAGTCAAAAAAGTCACCATTGTAGGTAACAAAAATATGAGGCCTTACCTCCATTATGTGCTCAAAGAATTTTCTCAATAGCGATGCTTCGTCTTGCTCATTGAAAATAGTAAAAAATCCTTCAAATTCTGGTTTCGGGGTGTACTCAAAATCATCCACATCAGCAGAAATTATTTCTCGATTGGTAATCAAGTAGCCCTGAGACAAACGTTGTGAAAATGTATATTATGGTACAGAATGTAAAGTAAAAAATTGTAGTAAAATAAAATTTTACCGTTAAAATTTTCGCATTAGTTGACATGCTGTGGGATGCAGCTTGTACAGGGAGAGTCTGAAATTTTAAGACAGCTCATCATCAATCTAGTTCATTTCATTAAAAAAAAATTCATTTACCAAAAAAATTTCATCTCAAAATTGAAATTTTTAAAGGTTGCTCAAGGGCCTCAAACTTAGTAATTTTTGCCAAGGTTACCGCTCAGAATTTCTATAGTATCATAAGAAAGAATACCAGTTAGTTCTTTGCATGTCCAACAAACATGGTTATATGGAGCTCCAATTTGACGAATATTTATTCTTTCTGATCCTTTGGGTCACAAAAATGATGTGGGCAAGAGCTCGCAAGAGTCGCCTGTCGTGTGCTTCCCTCGGTGGTGATTGAATCCGCAGCGCATTGTTCCATCGATTTTGTAGACAGCCTCTCGCTGGAACATTTTATCTAAAGTCTCCAATTCTGACTCTAAAACACTACATCATCATCCTCACAGTCTCGAAAGTACTTTCAGTGCCATCAATGACCACATAACGCTCATTTTTGGCTAAAAAAAATTTCAAGAATATAAGCGTAAAAGGTGTGCTCAGGTTTTATTGCTATTGTAGAGAAAAACGCTGAATTTGGAGTTCTAACTGCATTGAAACTGAAAATTCAGCAGTTTTATGAAAATCGAATAAAGCCTTTTTGAGCCACCTATTCACAGGTAAAAAACCAGCATTCACACAATTTCTATTTGTGGCTACAAATGAGCATTAAATGGCCATTTATGACACATTCATTCTTAAAACTGTGAGGATAGTTTGTAAGTGTTATGGAGTCAAGAGTTGGATGCTTGAAAATATACTTACTGGCAGGAGGCTGTCTGCAAAACTGACAGAGCAACTTGCTGTGACTCCAACCACTACCGGGGAAAGCGCATGATAGGTGGATTTTGCAGGTTCTTGCTCAGATCATTAGCATGGTCCGAGGATTCAGAGGACGTAAATATTCGTCAAATTGAAGCTTAAATAACCATTTTTGTAAGATAAAGAAAGAAGGAACTTATTCTTTTTTTTCATTATCCTGGAGTTTCATGTACAATACCGTATGAATGCAAAAAGTTTTTTTTTTTTTTTTTTTACCTTGATTTATATTCGTCAGTTGTCTGTACAAGTTAGGACATTTTTCAATGTTCAAGATTGCTCATTTTTGTCAATCCATCTTTTCTCTTCCTTTCATGTATAAATGTTTCTATTAAAATTTATTTTAGTAATTCCATATTTTCCCTCTCTACAGAAAATCAAAATTTGCAGGAAAACGTTACTCAATTAAATAATGAATTCATTTATTCCTGAATGAGTTAACATCATCAATAATAGTAAATGAAAACAATATATTTTTTTTTTTTCAAACTTGGGTTATCAGTTATTATTCAATCTATGAACTGGGCTTAAAAACTTGCACCCAAAAATTTTTTTCGTACCTAAATTTCAAATTAATATACTGTATCCCAAGATGAAACATAAAACAATTACATACATCTACTAAATTAATTAAAACAAAATGAACTATTTTTGCTTTAAATTGAATGGCGAAGAAGAGGGGTCTGACCAAAAAAAAGGTAAAATAGTCTGATTCAATTTGAGGTGAAAAATCATTACTACCCGGCCCTACTTTTTCGTCTTTCAAATATGAAAGATTGAAAACTGAAGATGAGATATTTACAAACTAAAAGGAAGGACGACAGTCCAACCTTATGGGAAAAGTGGGCCCAGTTAAATCGGCTGGTGTTTTGATACTTTGTAGGTCTTAACCTACTGATTAAAAGTGTCACTGGGCGTTTCTGCCTATCTTGAAGTTTTACCTCCCATTTTGGGGATTGAAGTTTCCAATTCAGCATATAATTGGTAGTCTTGACAATCGGGTTCATTGGTCGTTTTAAGATTCTTTAAGGGTTTGTTGATTCTATTCTATCCTCTGAATAAGCTAGAAACCATCCAAACTCAAAACTGAACAATTTTGCTTTATGGGGGGGGGGGGGGTGTTTTTGCCACCGATTTCAGCGTCAGCGAATCGCTTTGAGCCGATTCTTTCGTCATGTTTTGGATCATTTTTTATGCAAATGATTTCGATTGCATCTTGGAAGGTTGCAGCTCAGAATATACCCCTGGAGGAAAGGTTGAGGGGGGAGGAAGGGTTGGGGGGAAGAAACGCGCGACCGATCTCGAGCAGCTAAACTGGCTTGCGCGAGTCGCATTAAACCGACGGTTTCGCCATGTTATGGGGACTTTTTCGTGTCAATGAGGACGACTGCATCTCGGAGGGTCGACCGAGATGCAGTTCAAGATTGAAGTAGAGGAAGGAAGTATTGTCAATCGCCTTTCCCGCGAATTTTGCACGCCTCACTCTAAAGTTGTAAAGTCAATCTAAAGTGAATTTCCATAACCTCATTCTAATAATGGAAGGTCAGCAGACTTAATTTTACGAGTCTTATCCGCAAATGGGCTGTCAATGCTTTTAATTTTCACCCCGCCCCTCCATTTGATTATTCTGCTAAAATGAGTAAGAGGGAAGGATCGAACTACTTTTCATCTTAATCCATGAATTATCAACCTCATTAACCCCCACCATCTATGCATCTATGAATCAGCGATTCATCTCCGTTTTTGGAGAGTACCTCCAAGAAAGAATTACCTTAAATTATGGCGTTATGGAAGATGCCATATTAGATTGTATGCGATACACAGGTACTAATAATGCAATCCATGGGAGGCAATCTATGTAATGCAATCAGTTCTGAAGGTATTTTACCAGTTCTGGTTTTTCATTCTTCCTACCGGCGTTCCATAAGTAATGGATCAAATCCTGGAAGGTCTCATTACATTAAGTGAGGCGAGCTTGCTGAGATTTTTTTTACAAAACTAGAAAATCTAAGGAAAAAACATGGTCACATATTCCTTCTTTTTTATATTTTTTCTTCTTTTCAAAAGGAACTAACCCCTCCCCTCACCAAAATTGCAAGATGCATCAGGAGATGCTAAAAATTTAATAATGCGTTAAAGGGTATTAAGTTTTAATCACCCTAGCGTCCATAAAAGTGCCACTTATCTAGTGTGAGTGCCACACAGAGCTATGCTAAGAGATCCTATAGCAACGGAGGGTGCGGATTGAAAGGCCTCCTTTCCCTTACAACATTTTCTGTGTTCCATCTCAGTCGACCTTCTGAGATGCAGTTCGCCTCATTGACATAAAAACGTCTCCATAACATCGCGAAACCGTCGGTTTAATGCGACTCGCGCAAGCCGGTTCTGCTGCTCGAGTTCGGTCGCGCGCTCCCCCCCCTCCGCCAGGGGTATATTCTGAGCTGCATCTCAGTCGACCTTTCAAGATGCAGTCGGAATAATTGCATAAAAAAAATTTCCAAAACATTCTGAAAGAATCGGTTTAATTGCGACTCGCTGATGCTGAAATTGGTGACATAAACACCCCCCTCTTCCCCCTAAAGGCAAAATTAGTCAGTTTTTGAGCTGGAATGGTCTCTAGCCTATTCAGAGGATAGAATAGACTCAACAAACCCTTAAAGAATCTTAGAAGCGACCAATGAACCCTGGTGTCAAAACTACTAATTATACGCTAAATTGGCAACTTTGATCCCCAAAATGGGGGGTAAAACTTCGAGATAGAAAGAAACGCCCATGGACACTTTTAATCAGTAGGTTAAGACCTACAACATATCAAAAAGCCAGCCGATTTAACCGAGCCCACTTTTCCCATTAGGTTGGACCTTCGTTCTTTGCAAATGTTAACCTTTCAGAAAGTCAAATGAACGTTTTGAAACAAATTGAGTAAAAGTTTGTTTGACCCTGGAAACCGTTTTCCGGCAATAAGCCACGTTTTTCAAACTTTCAGAGGTAGATCATTCAACATTCAACTGTTGTACATCATCGCGCATCGGGCGTACCTACATTCCCGTACTTCAAAATTTTTCTGAATATTTCTGTGAGTATTGTTTCAGTTGATGAGAAATTCTCTGAAGTTTCCTTGTCTTGTACAACGATGAATTGTTTTAAAAATAGTATGTTTACTACGATTTTGGGATATCAAATGTAAATACCCTGTCATGCCCAACAGTCAAAGATTTTTAACTAAATAATTCAATGTTGGAGTTCATGTTCGAACAGAAAAGAGAGACTTACTTGCCCATCAATCATGTATGAAATCATCATAATCTGATCTGTGCTGGCATCAGGAAATTTGAGAGGTAATTTTGTTGTCTCGATATCAAATGCAAGCACGATCATGTCTGGCCTATCGATAAGATCATCTCGCTTTGTAATAACAGGGATACCATGTTGACCTCGGGTTTGTATTGAATACCATGATCCTACAAAGATTTTGTTGTTAATCGATACTCTCACATGGTATGGTACATCATGTTCTCTGGAAAAAGAAAATTCTAGCATACAAACTGAAAATGGTTCTAGATCTGCCAGCAAGGTTTAAAAAAAAATAAAGATCACTATGACATCTAAACATAGTTAATAATATAATACTGGCATGGGCAAAAGTAACGATCGACCTTAACTAGACCTTAAGCATAGTTTCAAATGAATGCGAGTTATGCCTGAATAAACAAGGCATATAATTTTTTTTCCTGAGTGAGTTAAGTGAATAGTATAGCATAAAACCCCAAAAAACCTAACGTTGAATGGTGGCATCAACACCATGCACGATGAGTTAAAAAAACTCATAGTATTACAAGATACTTTAATCATGTTCCTTAAGTGTAGATAAGCACAGAGGCAGGGGCTACAGAGGTAGAGTTTCAGCACAAACAGGGTGAGCAAACAGTTCCCCCCCCCCCCCCTGTAACTTTTGATTGCATTCACATATCAAAATAAAATTTTCAGGATGCTTCTAGATCAATAAGAGCTACTTTTTGGCACATCCAAAATTTTGGGGGAGCAACCCTCCCGCTCGAAACTTGAAATTTTCAAATTGTAACCCCCCTTTCCTGATACATCGTTGCAAAGGTAATAAAAAAGGAAACTTTTCAGCGCAAACCGGAGGTGGCTGCATTTTTTTGTTCCAGAGTTATCAAGGCCAGAGGAGGTCAGAGTCCAGTCAAGGTTCAAAAAAGGCTTGTTTTCAAAAAATCATAAGTCCGGTTCAGAAAAATCCAGAAAGGCATAAAAGGCGGCAAAATTCTCGGCATTGCATGTGCTTTCAGAAGAAAAATCGTCGAAAACCTTGTCGTCTACGCTCAGAGTGATTTTTGCCCCCCTCCCACGACTAACTGAGTAGAATCAAATAAGTTTTGCTCTACCATGTCTGCCAACTTTTTAGCCCTTCAAAATGGAAAAATCTGACATTTTTTTTTTTTAAATTTGTTCAAAATTTTACGCTTAATCAGGTCCCAACATCACTTTAGGCAGTTTTTGCCATTTAATATCAGAATTTTGGCCCTAAACAGCTGAAATGTCCTGTACCGTAGCCTGTCTGCGACTCAAGTGCGCAACTTTAACGCTTCATAACCATCATCTTGCATCTAAATACTTCCACTTCTGCTGTAAATTCACACTCAATTTGTACCTAACTTATTATTTTCAGTTATATTCATCCAAATAAGTGAAAATATTGACAGTCTTTGCGTCATGCAGCCTTGTCTGCGGAATTCGCGTCCTGTACCGTAGCCCCCTTTTTTCAGCATCATTTCGTCCGTTACAGTGCAGCACTTATGAACTTTGTTTACTTTTTTTGTGTTATCGTGACTATCACACGCTGATGTCGAGCAGAGGAAAAAAAACCGCAATGAAACAGTAAATTTTGACCATTTTTTATGAGTTTCTAGGTTTAACGACCATCTAGGATATCCTTACCGTATACCTACCTTTTTAATGCATAAATCACTTCAAACTCTCGAATTTTGGTATTTTTTGATACGCTCTGATATCTTAACCTCAAATCCAGAATTTCAACCACATGCGTGAATATGCCCGAACACCGTTGCCAATAATCACACGATTTGTCCGCACCGTAGCCGTCCGTACCGTAGCCCTTAGCCGTCCGTACCGTAGCCCTTAGCCGTCCGGTACCGTAGCCCGTAGCTGACGCGCGATGCGGCCGGGTCTACGGTAAGTACGGACAAAATGCGAAAGTCATCCAAAAATCGGTGCGCTGTTTGATAGATCATCCCACTTTACTTTATTTTATCTATCACCAAAATTTGGAATTTAAAAAAAAAAGAGAGACGTATTTTTTTTTAGTACGACGCGACTTAGAAGAAGGAGGCTTTTTTTTCGATGATTGCATAAGGATCGCCATCTTTTTATTTTTTTCATTTTTTCTTTTAGAACTTTGAGTCCTCTTTTTCGTCTGAAGTTCATAGCAATTTATTCGTTTAATATTTATTCGTTAATATCTAACTTATTTTTTTCTTATTGTCCTTTAAATATTTATTTAAGGTGATTTGTGACCACATTTTCGATAAATTTACCTTTTTGTTTTCTTTCTTATTTTGTAAAAGTGCACCTGAAACGTTCTAACGTTGTCAAGCTTGTTTTAAGAACTCAGCTTCTAAGATTTGTCCCTAATTATTTAATGCGTTTACTTTAAAATAAAAGCAGTTCATTATTTTTGAAAAACTGATTTACTTACTCTTTTTACCTTTATTGCCTGTAATTATTTATAAAAGTGGCACTTATAAGCTATGTTATAACTTGGCAGTTTATTCCCCAATGAATTTCAGTTCTTTATAATTCGGCCCTTGCATACAGTAATATTTACGAATGCCTCTTCGTCCTTACCGCAGCCCGTTTGTCCGTACCGTAACGTTATTGTCCTGTACCGTAGACCAGTAAAAAATTGTACAATTTGTAGCTTTAAAAAGAGCAAACCTGTAGAAATTCTTTAAAAAAGTTGTCTACCACATCTTTTAAGTTAGTTCTAAAGAAATTAATTAAAATTAATCGTATAATTACATTTCCCGGTTTTTATGGGAGAAAAATGATGGCGCAAAATTCTATAAATCGGACTTTACAGCAATTTGGGTGCTAAATTTTGGAAGTAAAAACTTTGAAGGAAATTTTTTTTTATTCTTCTACAAGAATATATCTCATTGAGTGCAAAAAAAACTTAAAACGGTATTATTATCGCACGTATTGATAGAAAAACAAGCCTGTTTAATTGGTCTACGGTACGGACAAAAAAACTTAACTTCCAGCGATAAAAGAGGCCAACAAATTTTTTCTGTTGAAAAAGAAGATTGACCACTATTAAAATCGACTTTCCAAGAGTATGAGGACTTCAGAAAACATCCTGAAGTCTTGAAATAACTAAAGTCACTTTTTTACAAAACGATGGCTCCAAGAGCAAAACTAATTTGATTCTACTCAACGTTTGTAAGTTAAAAAGCAGGGTATATAATTAGTTAAGTTTCTTAGCAGTTAAATCTAGCTTTTAAGGATATTATACAGTCCAAAAGTGTTTATTGTACAAATTTCATTTGGTGTTTAAAAATTAAAAAAAAAAAAAAAAAATAAAAACCCCACAAGGATATCTGAGCCAGACCGACCCTATGCGCGAAGAAAACGCCTCTCATTAAAAATAGACTTGTTAACGATTTTTAGTTAGAGAGCGGAAGAAATCTCCTTAAAAATTGCCATTACACAATACAGTTTTGAACGATTTTGAGCTTTGGAACGGTAATTCATCTCAAATTTCTCAGCAAGCAAGGAGGACGGTTTTCTTTTTTCTTTTTGAATTTTCAAATTTGACTGTCCACTGAAAGGAAACTCAGGGTGGAGAAGCCGTACTTCCGGGATACATAAATACTGTTCGTTCCGGGATCAGAGGCTGGAAGTTGCAGTCGGTGGAGGACTGCGGCTTAAACTGCTGTGTGTTTAGAAGCCGTGCACCTGGGATTTTCGCCCTCTAGGCCCAGAGCGGACGATATGATGTCTTGTATAGCCCGTAACCACGGCTTCCACAGCCAAATAATACGCCGACAAAAATGTCAAATAATTGTTTAATGTTCATAGATAAAAAATCAAAGGATTTAGTAACTAAGGCTAGCAAGGGGATTTTACATATACTTTCTGCAAGAGCAATTCCTAGAGCCGACAACACAATTGGCGTATTTGATCGATCTTTAAACGTGATTTATCATTTTCGGTGGCTAATCATGACTCGAAACCCTCATCAGTTATGGACTTTCGGAATAGAAAATCCACCAAACCAAAAGAACAAAAATCCGGTAGGAAATATTCCAAGGCAACGAAAAGGCGGAGTTCCAAAGTTCCCTGTGTACACATCGAATCATTGCTAAAACTGTCTATCTTAACAATCAGCTCAGATTATCTAATAGAGGGAATCTATGGCAACTGGTCGTGATGAGTCAAACACGGATCCCTTGTCCGACAGTCAAAGCCGGCAAGACGAGGCAAGATCATCCGAAACGAAGCTCTGCTGGAGATTTGAAAAAGGTTTCTGCACTCATGGTGTCTCCTGTCGATACCATCACCGATATGAAGAGAAGAATACTCTTGAACATCTGGCCGTCATGTTGGACGCACAGATGGCGACTATTAGTGTGCTCAATAATCAGATCTCGCAAATCTCACAGAGATCATTTGACCGAGGAAACCCAAGTTCAATTATCAGCAGACTTGATAGGATTGAGCAAAAGATGGCAGCCCCTCACCAAGAAAGATCGCGATCAACAATGAGGGCTAGGTCCGCATCAGTGCACAGAATTTGCCCAAAGAAGTGACTGCTAGGGATTGGAGTGCTAGTGCTACTGATGATACTAAAAGAGTGGACAGTCCCGAGAGAGAAAATTGCAGGATACATCAGTTATATCCCCAAACACTCCAATCCAGTTACTCCCCATACTCTTAGTAGTATAGTAGCCAACCTATACCATATGTTACTAGGATTTTTGCTAAGCCTCATTAGGACTTGAATGCAGTATGCCTGACTATTAAAACCTATAATGACTACTTCCTTGCGATTTCGATCACCAGTCCGTTTCAATATCTACAAGCAGGCTCAGGCTCGGGTGAGGAGTCTCATTACAAGGAAGAAAAACGAGACTTGGGAGCAGAATTGTTCCAAAATTAACACCTACCTCGGGGGCAGAAAGAGTGCAGAAAGTTGGAAATTATTAAAAGGCCTACGAAGGGATATGAAGCGTGATATTTTATCTCCGATATCGATCCGCCAGTTGGAGGAACATTTTAAACAATTATTGACCGAAAGGCGACCAGAGTTTCAGGGAGGCACGCAGATAAACACCGATGAGGCATCCACTGTATCAGTCCAGCTCTTTGATGTGGTTAAAGCCGTCAGGGAGTTGAAGAATGTGAAAGCTTATGGACCCGGAGATATTCCCTCAGAATTAATTAAATGTGGGTCCAACAGGCTGTTCCATTGCTTAAGGGACTTAATGGATAAATGTGCGAAAGGTGATGAAGTCCCG